TTGGCATTTCTTCAGCAGATAATGAATGGTTTTGTGCTTTTATTGTAGAAAGACTTTTCTTTTGTAATTTGTAATAAAAGTAATAAGAGCATTCTAATGCCTGTCTAGTGTGTCAGGCTGTGGAGAGCTTTGGCCTTTCTCTCACACGCTTTTCAATGCAATAGAAATTATTTAGAGTATTGAATAATTCTCTATATTTCTATTACTCCAGTTTTCAATCATGTAAAACATCCTTAAAACATGAAACACCCTCTTTAATCTCAAGAGAAATTGAATTGGTCAAGAAAGAAAAAATAGAGAAAACACCAAAATAGAGGATGCTATTTCAGATGCCAAGAAGGCTGAAAGTCAGTAGGAAAACAACATGTGGTGTTCTTCTTCACATAAGGTTTGAAATATAGCAAGGTGCTGTTAATATGCTGTATCATAGCATCATTCATTACAGAAGGAAACCTGAAAAGCCTGAATGGCAATGGACTCATGAGCTTATTAACAATGATATATAGAAATCTCACAAAAGATGCAGATACTTCTTGACCTCTAGCCAAAGAAGAAGTTGGGATTCAGAAGTAGTACCTGAACTGTAAATTACCTATGACAATGAGAATTAAGGAAAAAATGACTAAGTGTAGTAATTTACACGAGCCTTTTGTAGACTACAAAATGTAATTTTTTCTCCCATGGAAAGAAAAACATTTGGGAATACTGAGGCATGAAAACAGCAGTAAAGAAAACTCTGAAACTCACATGTGGAGGACGGTTTTAGAGAACAGTTCTTGGTAGTGGCCTCTGTAAGGCATTTTGATGGAGCCTATCAAGGAAGACAAAACTGGCTAGCAGTTACAGGCAGAAAGACTGGCATTGTCCTCCATCCTTCAGCAGGAAAGCAGTCAGCTATATAGGTACACACAGTTGCTTAGATACCCTGTTTGGCAGCCTGAAAAAAACTTTTTTCTTTTTTCTTTTTTTAATATATATTTTGTGCTCTACCTTCTTGAAAAGTAGCAAAGGTAGTTCTTGTCTTTTTTTTTTGTTTGTCAGTACAAAAAAACATACTGTTTTGTTTGTCAGAAGCTCTGCAAAAAGATCTGAAGGAAGCCTTAGAAATAGCTCTGTGAGATCAGTTTTCAAAAGGGAATATCAATTTAGAAGTGCACATGGAACACCCTTTTTCCTAACACAGGTGTTGCTGTTGCCTTCACAAAACACAGCTGCTGCTAATACAGCTCCTGGATGTCCATTTTTGCCAGGGAGATGTACTGGGTGAGGAAGACAACTGTATTGTCTTGGCTGTATTGTGGTATGGACTGAGTTACATATATGCAGCTGTCTTTGACAGATCAATCAGAGCCTTGTAATTTCCAATGTTTATAAGTTGGGTTTTACTTTTAAAACCCAGTTCAAGGTCAGGTCAGTTCTGTTCACTGTTGTGTTGCTCTCCCCATCGTTGTACCTATGGCTTCTTGATAGCATTTTAGCAGAAAGGCAATTTAAGCAATTAAGTTGTTGCACTTGTTATTTGAATTTAACATATGTAATAGCACCAACAGCATCAAAGAGGGGCTTCCTTGGAGCTTCAAATACAGTGAGGAAAAGACAGTCTAATCACAGAGACAGAGCTCAAGAATGCCTTTAAGAGTAAGCTCTGCAGCTACAAAGGTGGTGATGCAGAACTGAGTATGGGATCAACACCTGAAGCACAGCACAGCACTAACGTGCACTTTAGTGCCTGGTAATCCTTATGGAGTGCAGGTTCCTGCACCAAGAGGGACATTCTGGCAATGTTTAACCATCTGACCTTGCAAGTTTGCATTTTACATCAAATCATTTGGGTGAGAGACCTCATTGCAGCTTTTCTAGGTTGCGTTGTCCTTCGGTCTCTGTTTCATATCATATGGAGAGATCTTTGTCCTGTTAAATACACAAATGCATTATTTGAAGAGCCATGTCTGTCTGTCCAAGTTCTTAATGACAAGGAAACGACTTCAGAACACATGAAGAAGCAGGAACAGTAGGCTGGTGTTCTCAGCACTAACAGCCCTTCCATTTTTGATGCTACAGTGAAGATAAAATTATACATCAGGATTAAATAAGAAGCAATCTGTTTGCAATATTCTAAAATGGAATGTAATTTTAGTGGGTTTTTCTTTGTTATCACTGGAAGATTTCTCCCAATGAGATTAGGAATGGTCAACCAGTTGACATTTTCAGGATCAGTTAAGACTGTATCAATATAATGAAAAGCAAAGGCATAGCTGGCTTGAGCTAGTATAGCTCCATCGCTGTTGAAAGGAGTAACTTACCATTTACACAAATACAGAGCAGGATCAGCATTAGCCCACACGTGGCTGAGTTCCTTTAGCAGTGTGGAGATAGAAGCATGCAGTGAAGGCTGACCCCGACATCCTCTCTGCCTGTCCCTGCGGAGAGCAAGAGGCAGCTTTGCACTCCAACTCAGAGCAGTGGTCTTTAGGCTGCTGTTTTGTCATCATCTGCACACCGTGGCTGGGACTGGGAGTACATCCTCCTTCACAGGACAAAACAGATCCTTAAGAGGTACAGTCAGTAGCTGAGGCACCAGAATGGACCCAGGATGGTCTGGATGGCTGCAAGTTTTGCCAGGGCTGTTCCCGTACTGAAGCAGTGCTGCGGGGCTGTGAGATCCAGGGCTTGCTGTTTGCACTGCCATGGTTAGAGCCTCACAGCGTGGGATCCCGGTCAGAGCTTCAGCTGTTGTACCACCACTAATAAATAACAGTGAAGACATATTTTGTCTCTCTTGGATTTGAGCAATATGAGAAAAAATATTTTTTTTCCAATGAGCTTATTTCTGATACATGCATTCATATTAATTTAAACACAATAAATCTTTGCTTTCTCTGTTGATAGCCTTTCACTGGGAGGAACAGGTGTGCTGGCTCCTCTCTCATCCTGCTGGCATCCATTTTAGCAGCAATTTTTGATAAGTTTTGTCACCTCATTGAGTACTGTGGAGAAATATTGAGTGAGCATAGGGAGTGGCAGTACGAGAGCACAAAATTACACTCCTCATCAATCATTACCCTCTAGCAACTTCCAGGGCACTGCAAATTGCTGACTAACAAGAGAGAATTAGTTTGATAAAATCACCATTAGTGTCAGGTCAGAATGATGTAAAGTTTTAAAGACACGGCTGTCTTCTCTGTCTCTCCTTCATCCATTAGTGCGTCTGTTCATAGAGATCCCAGTCCAGCAAAGCACGTAAGCACATGTTTAATTTTAGGCAGATCAGTAATCCCAAGGAAATCACTGGGATACTAGTCCTAAGTATGTATTTATGTGCTTCACTGGATCAAGGCCAGAATACCAATTCTTTTTTTGAGCACACAAATGATAAATATCTCTGTGAGTCAGTTTCTTGATTCAAAAACAGTTTCAGACTCACTAGCTGGACGATAAAAAAAAAAAAAAAAGAATCTGTCAAGTTCTGGTGCTACAGAACATAGCAGTTGGCCGACAGAGCATTTTGCTTAACTTAGCTTCTTTAACCCTACTTATTTTATTTGTTGAGTTCTGTCAAATTCAGCCAGCTAGAAATCTGCCCCTGAACTTCTGCATAGCCTTCTCAAAGCTCTGCAGTTATTAAAATTCAGATCATCTTTGGTCGTTCAGAACCAGGCATAAAAGCTAAAGCCAGCTCAAGAACTGCTTTTTAAAAGTTATAGGTAAGATGCAGATGCAGCTACCATAGTTAATGAAACACGTTGTGTTATGGACTTCTCTCAGTGTTGCCAGACTGCATGCCAAAATATATAATTTGTTTTAAAGGTGACTTTTATTTGCCTTATGGCTTCTCAGGGTTTAGGGCTTGTTGCTTCATGATTTCAATTTTTCTTCACAATCTTGAAGACTGCAACCTTATTTCTAATCAAAAAAAAAAAAAAAAAAAAAGGAAAGAAAGAAAGAAAGGAGGAAAAACACCCAAACAAACAAAAAGTAAGGATAACAGTGGGCTCTAGGATTCTCATATGGTCATGGGACTACAGTAACTGCAAATAAGGAAAGTGTGAGGCATTGTAAGACTTTCTACAAAATCACCAACGGACCAGCATTCTTCATTTATACTTAAAAACTGCTCTGAAGTTTGTTTTTTTGTTGCTTTCATTATTTGATTACACAGCTGTAATCTAAGACTTCATATTCCTGACACTGTCAACCTTTTTTTTTTTTTTTTTCCTTTTGGTTACAGAACTGCAGTAAGACAGTGACTTACTGTCCTGCTATACAGTCATTTATATTGAAAGGCTGAGAATGTCTGAATGTTCAGCTCTAGCCCACTCCATCATAACCAGATGTTTCACTGCTCCACCACCATCTAGAATTGGATGCTTGATCTACTATGACATTACATCCATCACCATCTAGCCTGGTCTTTCACGGGCGACAGACAGAATGTCTGTCTACCATTCTGTGTTTCATTTTTACTTTGTGGAATTACTTATTTTCCTGCTTTTGAAATGAGCTTTCCTGCTTTACTTTTTCCAGAACAGCTGACCGCAACACTGGAACTTCATTGCCCAAACTGTCATATCTTGACTGTTCCAAATACTGAAATATATCTTATTGGAAATGAATGCCATTATTCTTCATTTACAGATCAAAGGAGCAAACTTGTCTTTCATAAAACAAAAATTATATCTGTTCTGTGATAGACCTGAAAGCTAATTAATAAGAAGACATAACTATTAATCCTTGTAACAATGTCTGTCTTTGAGGCAGAAGCGCTGTGATAGATTCTCAGCAAGTGCATAAGGATGCAAGATTTTGCTAGTCCTGAGTGGTTTTACACCAGCAGAGGTGTGTACAAGCCACTGCCTTTTGATTCCACTCTTTTGAAATGTAGCATTTTGAGCTACCAGAACTGTTTGAAGGATTGTCTACTGTCCACAGTCCATGTGAAGTCCATTGCATGCTCTCATCCAATTTTGTCATTCAATTTTGACACTACTTTGTGTTTGCAGGTGTGAAAGCTGTGGTGCTGTCTTCCACTCTGAATGCAAAGTGAAGGCTGTACCATGCCCCAGGTGCGTGCGTAAAGAATTGCAGAAGAAGCAGAAATCCTTCTGGAGGCGACTGAATATGGATGAAAACTTCGAAGAGTCTTGCAACATGTTTGAGTTGTCATATCAGAACACATGAGTTCCTTAAGGCAGTGGCCAGCCTGAAGAGAGCCTCTTCCCCAGCTGCCAGGTCAAGCAACCTCTCAGCTTAGCCAGGCAGAAATCTTTTTGCAAAATAATATCTAATCTTCTTCATCTGTGAATAGCAGCTGCCAAAGTGGCCATAAAGCCTTGTTGGCTTTGAAATAACAATGGCTCAACTGCATTTTGCATTGAAGTCCAGCCGCTAGCTCTTATACAAAATGTGATTTACTTGAAATGCTTTAGGTCTAGCTAACTGAGCACCCAACTTTTTCTTTTCCACCTCTGGAGAAGACTTCCTCAAGACAGAAAATATTTGCTGCCATGAACACACTATTTTTGATGTTGTTCATTTAGAATTGATGAATCATCTACTTATTTATGTGTATTATTTATTATTAGCCTTGGCAAAGGTTCTGGTAAGGTGTTTGTTTCACAGAACCTCATAAGGCAGAAATGATATTAAGCCTACCTGCTACTTTTGACATGGACATGTTTTCACGTCCTCATGTTTCCAGAGCTATTTCTAAAGGATCAGCACATTTACATGTCACTCCTCCCCGAGGAAAGAAAAGTATCTCCCATCAAACCTTATTCAGGATGTTTGCAAGCATAAGATGCAGAATAATTCCTTTAGCTGTGCTTATTTGTAACCACCCCACTGGAATATTACATAAGCAGATAAGCAGGGTACTTGCTGCTGTTCTTATTCAGGCTGGGTGTATCTGTCAAGCTCTGTCACTAAAGTCCATTCTGCTTTACGCTACTTGATCTATGTGGGGCCACATCCTCATCTCCAGTAACGTGACTTTCAAATCTCCTGCTAGGCTTGAAGACATTTCAACTGTCTACACTGGTTTTGTTTTTGTCGCGTGCAGTTTACTTTACATGTTTTTCTAACCTGATCCTGGTAGACCAATAGTTGGGAAAGTGATCTTGCCCAATTTCGCTAGAAAATACCCTCAAAATTGTGAAACATTAGTTTGCTGTGTTCATGTGCAATTTGTGTCCTGAGTTCTCTGGGAGCACTAGAGGATTCTATACATCTCTAGTGATTCATGTGGTGGAGAGCAAACTTCTCAAGGTATGGTTCTGCCTCGCAAACCTGGAACATAGGGAAGTACTAAACATGGTAAATTACATATATTGTGAAAGATATGACTGGAGAGATGTGTGTCATCACTAACAGTGTTCTGTTCATTGTGGTTTTACCTCCAGTGAGCACTTAGGGATCCTCCTCACTCCAGTCCACATTTTAAACTTTTTCTCCAGACCCTGCAGTAATATGTGTATTACATGCATATGAATACATTCATATTTATATACACATATATATACAGCAAGCAAATATGATTTCAGAAGAAAAAAGCCAGTCGCATGTGCATTTTCCTTCTCTCATGTAGGTTTGTTAAAATGCAGACTACTGATCTTTGCTTTCTATATAATATGCAGGCTGTTATTATATTCAAGGCAGAAAGCAGTCTTGATCATTGAAGCAGCTCACTAATTGCTAAGTATTTTAAATAAAAGAACAGGGTACATCGTGCTTGCATTAAAGGGCAGAAAGTCACACAATGGACTTGTATTGGAGTACAGATGGTTGCTTTTCCAGCCTCCAGTCAAAGAAAGTAGCTGAATCTGAGCTTTCCCAAATTTGAGCGCAACTTTATGTGTATATATATATATAGAAGCATGTTTATATCTATATTCATTAGACAACCAGTGCCTTTCTTTTCCAGAAGCCCTTCTCCCATTGGGATTTTTTTGGAAGAAAGTAGGGGGTTTTCCATGTTCTTGGCAAAGTAGTATAGGGATTCCCATGTTTAATGAAGTTGGTGAATCGTGCACCTTTGTCACTAAAGTTAGTATTTCCCCTACACAGGGGCATCTATGTTTCATTCAGCTCACTGTTTTTCATATGAAATCAGTTGCTTTCAGCTATCATCCTTAAGGATATAATGTTCCTTTAAAGTCCATTCCCATGCGAAGAACTCCCTGCACGTTCACATATGCAAACACAAGGGAAGTCTTGTGGAATTAGTCATGCAAACAGGAACTGCAGTGGTACTGGCTGAATAAACAGTACACTCCCATATTTTTCAGCATGTGTCACTACAACCAGCCCTGTGGCAAAGCCAGTAGCTCTGAAACTGTCAGAATCTGGCAGGTACTATTTTGAATTAGCTCAAACATGGGGGGTGGGTCATAAAAGAAAAAAATAAGTGACATTTTCCATATCATAATGCTTTGGAATTTAAGATATCTTACAGCATTAGTTCACATCCAGCCCAGTTTATAGAAAGGTGCTTGTGTGCACTGTCAAGTACCCTAAGGCATCAAGAAATTAAGGTTCAGGCATTGCAAGGTATTGGTAACTTTGTCAGATGCCCTGATCTCCAAAGTGCCAGTGATGTGGGTGGTTAGATATTCTAGTTAAATTCTGGAATAACAACAGGCAAATTTGGAGTTACTCTAGATTTGTGCAGGTATTACAGAACAGAGTTTCTTTGTTAACTGAGATTTACAGGAAAAAAAGAATATGTTGTCAACAAACCTGTTGGAATTAGTGGTGGGTCTGGAACCACTGCCATTCCTAAAGGCAAAGAGCAAAAGCATGTTTTTACAATATGCTGGCAGCACCCAAAGCTTTTTGTGAAAGGATAACGTACAATACAGATCAGATTCTTTTTTTTTTTCCACCTTGAAAAAGTAATATAGCTTATTCTTGTAGCTACAGGAGCTGGCTGTATTGTGGAAGATGCTTTCCTCTCAGGGATGCCTAGCTCCTGTCCATAAACAGTAATTCCATATGGATGGGTAGGATGCAGTCTTCTATCTCTGCCTTTCAAAAATATAATTCAAGGTCTGATCCTGCCCTCAAGAATTGTGGATACAGTAGGAATGAGCCCTGATCATTTTTTTAGCACTGCAAGATAGAAGAATAAACAGAAACTACTGCTCATGTTACTAACTCTCGAAAGATCTGACTTTAAAAGGATGGTTTTCATGCAAGAGCCAGCTGCTAGTAGGAGACACAGCTCATACTTCTGAAGGTGATTTGGGTTTTGGACAACACTGTACCCTTGTGTGGTTGTCTCTGCTATACTAAGATAGTGCTGCACACTGGTCCCCAGTGCTACTGTTTTCCCATTCTGCAGCCTGGAGCCTGCACATGTTCTGCTCTGCAGATGGCTGGGTGGGCATCAGCTGGAAAAGTACCTGAGGTCTTTCCAGATTGCGCACATCTCTCCTCCCTACACACACCCACAAGTAGAATATGTGTATTAGTACTTCTGGTTCCATCCTACCCACACATGATATAAATATGAAGTAAGTTTGAACAATAATATTTCGTTGTGAATCAAAAATAAAATGCGCTGTTTGTCTCCTTCACAAAGAAGGTGCTTTCTTTGCTAACGGAGGAGGAATAGATCTGTAGGTCCAGTTACTGCTCTTACTAGCTTGTACAGAACTTATAATCACTGTAGAAATAGGGTGCTTCACTGCAAGGGACTGTAGCCTGACTTTACAACTACTTAGAAACTTCTCAGTTTAGTTAGTCTGAGATTATTTAACCCAGGACACTGTAGATTAACTAATTCAGTTCTTTTCCTCTCTACCCAAACCCTCTAGCTTTTCTTTTACGTAGACAAGGACCTACCTAGGGGATGTAAAATGCAGCTTTTTTGATATTATCAACCTACAGAAAGAGAAATTTGGATCTCTTAGGCAGAAATCTTTCTCTTTTCTTCATCTTTCTTAGGTGGTGAAAAATGTTCTTGCAGTGTGATGCAATGTCCGGGTTGGCACGTACCAACATGCACATAGGAGCTCATTGCTGGGTTGATAGGAACTGACAGTTGTGAGGGTTTCTTAAATAAGTGAGGAAACACACTTTTAGGTGAGGAATTCTTCACAATATCCTGATAGTCCTGCTAGGAGGGAATCATCAGGGTACTTCAAGAGCTTCTCTTGTCAAGACTTCTCTTAATAATTAATACAAGGATACTGTGTGCATTGTTATGGGTGGATGATAATGTCCTGAAAGGCTTTAAAAAACAAACAAAAAAACAACAACAAAATGAGGATGTCTGATTACAATGAAATGGGGAAGCTGCCTGGTTGTATTTTGCTTTTTCCCTGTAGCAACAGAAGCCATCAAGTTTCCAGGGCTTTCCAAGGTCATGGTCTGGATTGCAGCCGACTGTTGATCTGTGTAAAAGAAATGTAATTGAGTAATCATCATAATCTTATCTCTTGTTTTCTGTTGCTCAGCTGCAAGCCAGTCCTCTCTCTCTCCTCGCTGTCTCTGTCCCTGTCTTGGCTCACAGTGCTGAGCCTACAGCTAGGCTTTGAGCTTCATAGCTGATCGTGTTGCTTCTGAACCAGTTGAGTCTGATCATTCTCTCCTTCATAATTTGCCTTCCAATTTTCCCTTCCCAGTAGGAGTGCCTTACAGTACTGTATATTAGTGTCTATCTTCCTGTTTTGGATTTCCTGATTGAATCTGCTGTTTGATTAACCTGTGGGCTCAAACTGAAAGTCTCCTGTGGCTACACATGCTCTTTTGCAGGAGCAGCTTAGTAAATCAGTTTGCTTGTTCTGTCCCCATGAAGTGGGCTCTACAGGCTGCAAATACCAGCTCTGAAGATGCCAAGATGCATGGAAATCCCTCACTTTTGCTTAATTTGGTGCCTTAAATTTTCAAAAATGAAGAGTTTTGTCAGGAATGCTCTGCCATGCTGCAACGTGTTTGGCATTGGAGCTCTAAACCCTTGCTCATGGCAGTTTCCATCTTGCTAGGAGTGATGACCATAAAATTTGTTTACGATCTGTGCTTTGAAAGGGAAATATGAGAAAAGATTGCATGGAGATGGCTTTGTTTTTTATTACCTACATTTTGGAGACTAACTGAGCTTCTTTTCAGACAGAAATGAGGTTGCTCTGAAGTGAGAGCTTCAGAAGCTGTGGATCTGTAACAATGGCAAGCACTGGACAATTAAAGCAGGATCAGGTCACGCGCAGCTTTGCTCCTGCTGGAACCAGTGGCCAGCCTGTGCCACGTGGGGAGGGAGTCCCACATGGTAAAGCTGGATGCAGGGCTGTGGCAGTGATGGCTTTTCCTCAAAGTTTAATTTCAACACAGCCTGATTCCCTGAAGGCTAACCCACTGGGGTTTGGTCAGCATTATGTTAGAGAGGGTTAGCCTGCTTAATTTTTAGCATTATTTGCTAACGTCTGCAGCTAACCCTTCCTGCGTCTGTCAGTCCTGGGCACGTGTCCATGCTGACTGGAATCTTTTAAGTCCATTTTTGACCCCAAGTAGTAGGAACCCTATTTGACAACAGCAGAGCTTTCACTGCACTTTAATAGTGTAGTGAGTAGACAGCCTGGACAATAAATAATGCGCAAAGTCCTTTACTTGAAAGCCCTGGTGTGCACACACTCCCTTGGGTCTTTTCTTAAAATGCAAGCTTTCCTCCAGATCCCCTAGGGCATTGATCTAAATTAGAGATGCCACTTGTGGGCAGTGATGGAGAAGTTCAGGCCTGGAAGGCAATTAACTGCCTAGGACCAAAGTGTAGTAGGCTCTGTCTACATACACAATTGTCAGTGGCTCAATTACTTATTTGTATCCAATCTGTGCGTTAAACCAATGTAAATCCTTGAGTACATAGTGCTGTTTTGGTGGAAAAAGGATTTATTTTAGTTTTGCTTATGTATTTGTCAGCAAAGTCAATCTTGCTTTAACTGAAGTGTTTTCAGACTGATTCTGAGTGGCACTGATACCTGTGATACCAGGTTGACTTACACCAGGCCCTTCTGTACTTGTCAGAAGTACTGAATTCATGAGCAAAATGGGTGTTGGAAGGGCTTGAAGTGATAAAGGCAGCTTCCAAATCAACATTAGCTGAGTCGAGGCAGTTTGAGGCTGGGGTAAGCCGGGTGTGATCAGCAGAGCACGAGGTTTGGTGCTGTCCCTGGCAGCCCAGGCTTCCCTTCCCAGCAGAGCACCAGCTCGCCTGCAGCACTTGCAATGGATTTTAGTATTAGTGGTAGCGCACCCTGAGTTTTTTGGAATCCAGTATGTGTGTGTGCTACTCTGTCTGTTAACTTATGTGTGTGTCATTGTTCTTGTATTTGTTTTGTGTTATTTTTTGTTTTGTTTTGGGGGGGTTGTTTTTTACTTTTGACAAGGATTTTTTTTAAATTATCTGCAACTACTAGGCAATAGTCTTAATTTATTATTGATATGTAATAAATTTATCATTTAAATTCAATGAGTTGAATTGCCTGTTGACACTTGAGCAGGGTTTACTTGGGTTCACTTGTGACACCATCAGAGCACCAGTCCCTTCTGTATAAAGGCAACTGTCAATAAACACTACAAAAAAATTACTCGTCCTTTTGAATTTGCCTTCTGCTGATACTGCACCATGTGTAGGACAAGTTTTGAAAGAGTGCTAGTTTTCTTATAAATACTAATCCGTTGGTGAAAGTCTTTCAAATCTAAGCAAATTGTGATATTTTTCTCAGTTCTGAGCCAGGAGGTTTTTGGAAATTCTGTCAATGACTGCATCAGGCTTTGCATGTTTGGATTCACAGTTAAATCTGTTAGGTGTATTTGATAGCCACAAATGTCCAGATTTTTGAAGGTGCTGAGCCCCAACAGTTCCCAGGAGAGCTTATTGGAAGCTGTTGTTGTCAGGCACTTTTGGGTACGGAGCTCCTGGGAGGCACATAGGAGCTGGGGGAAGGCTGCTCCCCACTGCATGGCTGCCATGTGGACCTCTGCCAGCAGGCTCCAGGGTTAAAGGACCGTGGATCCTAAGTCAGGGAGGCACCTCCTAGCTCACTGCAAGGCCCACTGAAGGGCTGGGAGGGTCGAGTTTTGCTCACAGTGTAAGGGCTGTCTTGCTCAGACAGCTCTCCATTCGACAGACATAGGAGCAGGTGTGATTCCTGCTCTCCTGTACTGCTTTTCCCAGTGCACCAGGTGAGGAACAGCAGCTCCCAAGGGCTGTGGATTTGGTGCTGAGCTATGGTGAAGCTCACCTGACCTACTGTCCCCTGTGTGAGGGCCCCCAGAGAAATCTCTCCTGGCTTTCAAAGAAGGACATACCCACTCCCTCTCTGCCCCCCTGCCATTCTTCAGAAAGAGCAGAATTCCACCAGGAATGTCAATCCTTTCTCCTGCAGGCACCTTTGGACTTCATCCCCTTGATGAAATGGCTGCAAGCAGTGGGTTAATGTTTGATCAGGACCACACAAGCTGCACGGAAAAGCCATGTGCAAGACCTTCGTCCTCCTGATTTGCTTTACAAGGTGAGCCAGTTCTGTTATGACACACGCCTCTTTCCCCTTTCACTGCCACGTCCCCTCCTCACTTCACGCTCAGAGATGCTGTGAAGGAAGCATCAACATAGAGCAGAGACCATGGGGTCTAGGGAGCCCTGGAAGGAGCATAGAATCATAGAGTCATGGAATATCCTGAGTTGGAAAGGACCCATAACGATCATCAAGTCCAATTCCTGGCACCACACAGGTCTGCCCAGATTTTTAGACCATGTGACTAAGTGCCCAGTCCAATCGCTTCTTAAATTCAGGCAGGCTTGGTGCAGTGACTGCGTCCCTGGGGATCCTGTTCCAGTGTGCAACCACCCTCTCGATGAAGAACGTCTTTCTGATGTCCAGCCTCAACTTCCCCTCCCTCAGCTTAACACAGCAGTTTGGTTGTGGTTTTTTTTTGGTGTTTTGTTTTGTTTTTATTTGGTCTGCCTGTGGTTGTATTTACACAGCTTCTCTCCTTGCCCCTTCCTAGGCTCCCTGTTGTGCTCTGTTTCAGTGTATGAGCTCATCACTGAAATGTGTTGCTGAAAGGACATACCCCAATAGCTGTCGCAGACGACTCGGGGCTGGAGCTACAGGAATCATTGCTTTTGGTTTTGGTCAGGAGCTGAAATGCTGGCATTTTTCTCCCTGTTGTACATTATCATTACATGAGAGCTGTGCCCTCCAGTGAACTGCAGCTCTGACAGCAAAACCTTACATTGGCAGCCCTGTTCTTAACCCCTGCACGCTCCTCTCCCCCACAAAAGCCAAGCTTTTTGGGTAGTTCTGTTAACCTTCTGTTAGCCTTTTGTGTTAATTTATCAACTAGCCATTAGCTCAGCAGGCCACTGAAAATACCAGTCAGACTGTGAATTGGAGCGTGCCCTCCAGGTCCTGTGGGAAGCAGTAGCAAAACTGGTGTTTGCTTCTGATGCTGAGCAATGGGGACAAATTGGCACCCACAGAGTATCCACCCACTTTGTTTTCTTCCTGATTGACACCCCTTATGCTGGTGGGACAGTCAGTGTCTTGTATCAGCTTATATGCTTGGGAATGTCAGATCATAAGGCAAATATCATAACCCCTTAGGTCTAGCAGTGAGTGTTTTGGATTTTGTTCTTTCGTGTTCTCTTTGCACATTAAATGCATTGCATTAAATGCATGTGTATGATACAATCCCAATTACAGTAGAACAACAGAACAACCCAAATGGAACTAGCTTCCTCCTCCTTTCTTTAGGGACAGAGAGGGGCCTTCTAGGTCTAAGGGTCACCAGAGCTTTTCAGTGAAAGACATGCTGAGGGCAAATGAAAATATCCTGGTAGTGTGTGTGCATAGCTCTGGTCTTTTTAAAATAGTTCTCATTTAACTAAATACTCTCCAAAGTAGTGGTTCCATCTAAAGGTCTGAGCATTACCACTGTGAGAAGGTGATGAAAAGCATCTCAGATAATCAGGTGTCACAAGTAAAACCAGACAAAGTCTCCAAGGCAAGTAGGAGTAAATTCCAGCCATTTAAAGCATTGACAAATATAAACTTTGGCATTGAGGCTGCAAACATGCTAAAAAGCTGGTCCACTGTTTATAGTAAGTGACTCTTGATTTTCTATAATTGAGTCTGAGGTGTTAGCCTCAGATATTAAAAATGAAGTTGTGAAGTTCATCTGGAAAGCAAGGAAGTCAGATAAGAGCTTGCATTAAGGGCTGGACTTTACATTGACTTGAAAGTTTCAGGTGTTTATCACATAGATACAGTATGATGTATTTAGAGGTGAACAGGAAGGAATTGTTAGTAATGCTAAACATTGTTTAAATGTAAGAAAGTGCAAGTTACTGATTCTGTGTACAAAAAGAATAGACGCACTCGGTGTGTGTAGAACAGTTCAGACCAAACGGTATTCATAACATGAAAGGTTATAAATAAGTCTCAGCTGTGACTTACACTACAGGCAGGTACTTGAAATACAGTGATGAAGGCATGAAACAAGATGAGTGTCTCTCTACTGACTTGTGCCTTGCCCTGCAAGTAATTCCACTGATTTCTGTGAATCCCTTGTTCACAGACACTTGGGGAAGCGAGGTCAGGGTGGAAGAACTGAGACCCCAGCACCATTCTGTCAGCAGGCGTTGGCATGCAATTGCTTGGGACACTGGTGGATGTTGTTTATTGTGTACTTATTGCAAAATGTCCTGTTCCAGCTTGGACTCTGCACTTTTGAAGCGCATTCATTTATGATTTAACAAACAGCATGATCGATCCTTTAAGCAGATACAAGTTCTGCTGATTTAAATGAAAGCTGCATAAAAGAACCAGAGCTGGGCTCTCAGTGTTCAGAGACATGAGCTGTAGCAGTTTATAAAATTGGCAGATTCCTTGTAAAATGAAAATGAAGTGACTGCACGTGCATTCAGCACAGAGTTAACCCTGGGTGATAGCAGGTAAAAAAGGGTGAAAGTATAATAAAAGTATGAGTCTCTACTGCATGGTATTTACACAGTATTGACATTGTTAGCCATGCTTAGAGATTTATGTCAAGTGTTACTGCGCTGTCATAAAATAATAAAGTACTTCTGTGAAGGGCTTAGGGCAAAGGGGAGACAAAGAAGTCTCGCTATATAAGGCCCTTCTCCAGCTCCGGTGGTAATCCATGGGAATGTTTCCCTAGCTGTCAGCAGAATCTGCATGGAGGCCTGCTAGGGGAAGGCAAGCAGAAGTGGCATGTTTGCTATGTTTAGAGCAGGTAACCAGTGGTTTTGTCCCCGGGAGGATATTACTACCACCCAGTTTCAGGATGCAGGATGAGTCTGCCTTGTAGTCAGTGGAGACGAGGGTTCCTCCTCAAAGCAGGGATGTATCTGAACTGAATTATCTTTTTGTGTTTATAGAAGTGCTGACAAGGACCCACAAAAGCTGAAAGATGACATTAAAAAAATGCTGTGCTCAATGTGGCTGGGAGGCCAAAAGGGCAAGAAGAGTCCCGTGTCCCTGGGCTTCTGCACCAGGCATCCTGGCCTCAGCACACTTTCAGCTTTGGGCTCTTGCAGCTCCATTTCTCACAGTAGGCTCACAGTAGGCATCCCCTCAACATTTTGGCTGCAGGACCAGATTTTGCAGCTGAACTCAGTGTTTATATGTAGTGGAAAACTGAAATGTCAGTGTCAATCAGTCAGAGCACTGGGGAGTTTGGATCCAGGCACAATGCCTGCCTGTCCTTGGGTCCGTATCTGCAGTTTGTGTGCCCTACTCCAGTTTGTATGCCCTACTCATTGCCTCTGCCCTTGGTGAGGTTGTGGTAACACTTACTTTCCAAGCCATGCTGATACCTGGGACTTGGTAGCCTTGCTGCAGAAAATTATTGCTGCAGAGAGGTATTGCTCTTCTATAGGGGTGGTTTCCTGGTTAGATGCTACTGCATGGGAAGGCATTGTGCTGCCTCTTTCCAAATGAAGGAAATAATTATTTTCCACCAAATCATTTAGCAGAATTGTTTCCCCTATGGCAGTCTCATAGCTCTCTTGCCAAGGGCTGGGAGAGCCTGCATCCTGACTCTCCTCTGGACAATGCTTCTCAAAAATCAGGCAGCTATAAAAAAGAGAAATGCCTCTGTTGAAAAGGGAGCTTTCAGAGCCCTTCATAAACTTGCTTTCCCTGCTGAAAACCAGAGTGCTCCACTGTTCTGTGGGAGAGCTGGCACAGGCAGTTTGTAGAACATGGGTTGGTAGGTGTAGAGCCCTTCAACATCTGACCCCATGTGTCTCACCTACTGAGCTAATTTTCTGCCTAGGCAACTAGATGAATGAGCTTTCCTCTCCATGACCATACTTCTTGTCATGGCCTGTGTCAGAAGCCTGACACATGCCAGTTTCTGTCCCAGATGGTGTCTCAAAAGCATGTAAGTAGGGCTGAAATTTGTCTCTCATACATCAGTTATATCAGCCTCCAAACCCTAGGGCTGACCACACTGGAGCAGCTCTCAAAGTGCTTACTCCATGGCTCACTCCAGCTGAATCTGTGAGATTGGAGCTGGTCTCTCCTTAGAGTCCTGGAATGTGTCACTGTGGCAATAAATAGTCTCAGTCCCGTGACACTTGGTGTCCCTTTCAGTCCTCCAGCTCTCGGCTCAGCTGGTGCCAAAGATGTGGTCCAGGTGCGTTCCCTTACTCCCAACAATACTGCAGGCTCCCAGTCCACAGGTCTGCTACGCAGCCTGGCAGAGAACTTTAGGACCTGCCCTTGCTTCCCACGTGGGCAGCAGTGAGGGATTGTAAGCTCAGTTTGTTGAGAAGTGAACGCTCCCTCGCACATGTGCCCAGAGGAGCGGGCTGTGGCATCGGTGTCCCCCTGGCTTTGTGTGTGATCTTTTCCCATGAATACCTCAGTGGTGTCCTCAGCACATGAACTCTTCAGCCCCTGGGGTGGTGAGAAGGCCTCGGAGATTGAGGAGACCCTTTTAGTTTGTACATCTCTTGCTCTGCATAGCCACCCATTAAAATTACTAGCTTCACTTTTCTCTGTAGGAATTTGGAGGGGACCTTGGACCGAACTGTAGGGGCGTGCATGCGGGAGAGGCAGAGAGCTGAGCGTGTCTCGCACTCCTCACACTCCTTCTCTTCTTTTTATTGACCCAGCTCACTGATTGGAAAAGACCCATGTCCCCCCCACGGCCCCCTCTTCCTCCCCGGCCGCACAATTGTCACCGCCAATTAGTGCATTGTTAGGGCACACAATGGCGCTGTGGCCACTGGAATGGGACGCTTTTGTGCGTCTCCAGTCGGCCGTAGGGGCAGTCAAGATTCATTTAGGGCCTTACACAACATGGACAGAAAATACTATCAGAAAAGCAAAAGGGGGAAAGAAAAAGAGAGAGGGAGAGAGAGGTAGCAAGAGGAGGGGGGGGGGGGGAAGTCTGCTATTCAGGGGTTAGCCCAGCCGCATGAAAGGCCCAAGAAGCAGTGCCACATTGAAGACGCCCCTTGGAACACAAAAAGGAACCAGGGCTTAATAGTAATTAGTGGGCAAACTGCAAAGAGCACCGTGGCTCTCCAGCGAACTGCTTACTGCCACCGCTTCCCCTTCCCCCTTCCCTGCGGATCCAGCCGGGAGGGGAGCAGCTCAGGGATGGGAACTGGCCCCGTCCTCCTCTGCCCACCACGCTCTGGGGAGGCCCCATCCAGCGCTTCTTTGTGGCAGGTAAATCGAGTGTCATTCTAAAGCTCACAGCCAAATGCAGGAGGTGTTTTGCAGGCAGAGCAGGATGTAGGGAATGGTTTCAGAATCACAACTGTTTCAAGGACCTTTAAAACAGTCCTGTTCCCTTTTGCTGCCTGGCACCAATGCACCTTGCAGCTGCGCTGCATTTGTCCACAGCCTGGTCCTCTTCCCCCAGCAAAACCTCAGAGATCCCTACTGTTCTTATTTCCCTCTTTACTCATAAAATAATCATCTGTATATGATTTTATGATCTCTGTATTTATTTTTTTAAAGAAAATCCATGGAAGAAAGCTGCAGGACAGTGATTAGTTTATTTGCTGTTCTCAGCTAATGGATGTGCATATATATTTAGGCAAAGCAGCTCTGTAGGCTTAGTAGCTATGAAGAATCTGTTCAGGCTGAGCACCAGACCTCACCATCTCTTCTCCATGAAAGCCTACACATTGTGAACAATGCCTGCATCCATCCTTTTCCCCTCATTTCTGTGCCAGATCTCAGCCACTGTAAGGTCTGCATTGGTACAGAATTTCTTCAAGCACATTTTGGCCCAGCATTGCTTGAGCTTGTCTTGGGTAGCTGCATTAGTACACAGCTAAATACATTTAATCTCTACTTCTGTAGAGATCAGCTTGTTGCTGTTGTCATTCTCAGCTCATCCCCTGAACTGCTCATGCTAGCTTTAGTCAAGAGCTTACACGCCTCACACTTAGCTGCATCTCAGGTATATTCCAAATTAAAAGATCCATAAGGCAGGTTTGACCTCACATAAATATTCTTAAGTATTGAGGAGGAATTCAGGGCATCCTAGCTTAAACTGAGACACAAAATTAGGAACTATTCCTTTTATGTTCTAAGAAAAATCCATGGAAGAAAGCTGCAGGGCACAGTGCTTAGTTTAGCTAATGGCAGTGCATCTCATTTTTCTTTGGATGTAGGAGTGCTGGAGCAGGTTCTGATCTTGAGCACAACTGCACACAATCCCATAAAACTTAGCTGTGCTCTTGTGGATTCAGCTCAGTATAAATTGGACAAGACACCAACCAACCAAATTTAGCCGTCTCTGCTGGAAATGTTCCTGAACCGCAGTGCATGAGGGAGATACGCACACATGTACAATTCTGGTCCACTACTTTTCTTCATGTAGAGGCTGGAAATAACTCCCAGTTTCCTCTGTTATCTGCAGCAACTGCAGCTAACTGTCTTCTCACCTCGTCCTGCTCCTTGCCTAAGGGGAAGTGTTTAGTCTTGGAGGGATGCAACCAGGCAGACCCTCTCTTCTCTCTAAGATGCCCAAGCATACCTGGGAAATGCAGCTGCTTCCCCAGTACCAGTCTTTTTTTCCCACAAGCTGGAAGCCATAGCTACTCTGTATGTCTATGCAAAATCAGTTTGATTGTATCAGGACAGTGCAAACAGGATTCACAACCAAGATTCCCTGTCCATCCAAAATCCCATCACGGGTTTCACAGGAAGCTGAGGGTAGCACAGCAGGCATCAAGGACTTGGCTGGCATTGCCAGGATGGCCCCTGCAAGGTAAACATGGTCGGGGAGCTCACAGTGTATGTGTCTCACAGATAGGGCTGGTTGAAGGCACTGTCTCGCAATGCAGAACGTGTCTGTCTCACACCAGCCACAACACATCCTCACTTTGCTAATTAGCAACATCCCTGGCTGAGTCTCAGCTGAAAGGATTAAACTGTCTTCTCACCTTGTCCTGCCCCTTCCTCACCCAAGGGGGGATGTTTAGTCCTGGAGAGATGCTGCCAGGCAGGCCCAGGTAAGGAGGTGGTCTCGTTCCCCTCCAGAATGCAATTCTTTCAGAAAGGGATTTTGTCTCCAGGACAGTCTGTCCTGACCGAATGGACACCCAGCCTCACAACCCTGTGGTGCGGTGCCGGAGGTTGTCAGCGTAACGTGCTCTAGGGGAAGGGAAACAGAGTGGTGTCTGCAGCAGGAGCCAGAGTTGTCTTTTTCCAGCTTAGGCCCAAACGGCTGATTTCCCAGCTCTGTGTGGTAAATCACAGAATTTTTCTGTCTTTAAAAGCAGGAGAATTGTCTGTCCTTTCTCCTGTTTTTTGTTCCTTGGCTGCTCAGCCTGTGAGCTGTTTGTACTGCAGGTACATTGAGCACCTGGCACTGTGAGGGGCAAATAATAAATTTGTGTGGTGGAAGCTTGCACAGTAACTTCTCAGTGTGCACCCAGTGGGGTCCTGTCTGCCTCGTGGTGGCATAACTGCTGGGGGTCTGGCAGTGCCAGCCTGTGGCAGGCTTGGAGAAGGGCTCAGCCACTGCTTTGCCCTAGATAGCGGAACAGTTCATTTCACCACCGTGAGAGAAATACACCCAGAGTGAATTTTGCTGCAGACACACAGACCTCTCTGAGCAAAATGCTGAACCAAGCTACTCCACTGGTTTTATGCCATAAGAAAGGTGCTGGTCTGTGTGGACCAAACCCTGTCTTTGTAGATCTTGTGCTACCTTTTTTTTTGTCAGGATGTCACTTATATAAAATCCATTTGATTGCATCTGTTCAGAAGAAAAAAAAAAAGCCTGTAAGAGGACTAGACAACCTGGTCATCAAAGATTTTTGGCAATACTTTTCCAGCACTCGTGTAAGGATTGAAAATGTGTTGGTGCACTTTTTCGTATCACCAGTATATATCCCAAGCAGTACTGCACATTGCAGAGAGGTACAGGATTTAGATAACACATGCCTTTTTTCGCCCTGCAAATCTCTTGATGTGCTCCAGTTCCATAACACTAGTCCCTGCTGAAGCTGTTGCTTTTTAAGATCAGCATCTGCGGATTGCATGTTTGTTAATTCTTGCTATCTGCCTAATGCCTGAATGCAAAGGTTGCTAGCAACATCCTTTCCAAAATCATTTTGACCTGTGTATTATGTTATCCTATGAATAACTCATAGAAGGAAGTAATCAAAACGTGTACAGTTCCAGCTAGTGCTAATTGCCTTTTCATCTCAGTTTCAGTCTCTTTTTACTTGTGTCCTTAATAAATGTTGATTATGCAGGGATTTAAATCTGTATCTCAACAGAATTTGATTCATTCGATGTGAATGACATGACTCACTAAGCCTTAACTCCAGATATTCCTCCAACCCTCTCTCAAGCACTTCAAGGATGTCAAAAGCACATACTGGGAATCCAAAGTGCCTGGTCTTTGCGAGAATGCCTAAAAGGTCAGAGAAAGGACATTGTTTCAGAAGTTCTCTGGCTGGGTGTTTACTCACTGATTTGTGGAAACCTGAAAACACAGCACATGTGTATGGCACACAAGGTTTTATCCTTCTAGGGAACTACAGATGAGTACACATACAGGATAAAATTTTCGAACGATATGTGATTTTGGTTGCCTCTAATCATGGGTGGCCACTATGGCACATCATGGAGGTACCCAATCTTCAGAGGATAACTGTGCAACAATTTCTGAAAATAAAGACCCCTTACAGTTGTCTCAGGAGGGTCCAGAATCAGCGGACCTGGAAAATCTTGGGATCACAGCATCTGGAGAGGCTAGTGAATGAAAAGCAGTCCTAGTGGATGAGGTGTTTGAAATGTATTCTGGTGTATGACACTGTATTTTCATGAAAGGACAGACTGAATTTACTCTTAACAGCAGCAGTTGCTACTGTACATTTTTCACCCATTCATAGATTTTTAAGGCCAGGAGAGACCACCCATATCCACAGGTGATCATACCAACAGCAGTTCCTTTGTAAAGGGCCAGTTCTCTTGGAAACATTTCTGTTCTGACTCTCTGAAAGCGTGCAGGACCGCGCTGCCTCCTGGCTGAGGTCTGCCTCTTTCCTGGCAAGCTCTTGGCACCCAGGATTTCCGTGTCCCCCGCTCCAGGACCTCCTCCAGTCCTGTCCTCACAAGGCTTCCCAGACAGGGGGCTTTTAGACCTTTTCCATGATGGGACAGGAAACCTCCTATCTTTTCCTGATGCTGCAGGATTTCTCAGAAGTACGGGCAGCTTGCCCTATTTGGCACAAACTAGTATATTTTGCATTGTTCTTTAATGTTGGAATTTTCCACAAAACAGAAATTTCAAGTTTTAGCCAGCTTCAGTGCATGCTGCTGGAGCATTTTCTCTGGAGGATTTTCACCTTGGCCATTACAAACTTGTATTCCAGCTCTGAACTATTTGCTACATTTTCATCCACAGCTTCCTCCTATAACCTGTCCATCTCATACAGATTAGAGAACTGACTAGTAATACTTTTGCCCCCAAAATAAAGGTCAGTAACTGTAATGAATTTTATTTAAATTTGAGTATAGAGCAAGCAAATAGAAATGGTTTTAAAGGTTGTGACCTGAGGCAGGGTACAGAAAGCATTATGCCAAAGCTGAACTGCTCTGGGCAGTTTCACACTGAAGGTATCTCACAGCAAAGGAGAGGGCAGGAAAATGAAACACGTTTAGAGATGGCAATGATCAAAACAGCACTAGTCTGAAGATAAAGTAAGCAATAATTAGTCTGTATTATTACTTAACAAAAGCATTTAATAGCTCCCACATATGAGTTGAGGTTTTGTTTTACTCCTGTGGCCAGAGCTGAAGCTGCTGTAAGCCACTGCTGATCTTTGCTGGGGGTGAATCCCTGCTCCTGCTCACCTGCCAGGGAGCAGCTCCTCAAATCTGCACCAGTGATGCACCACCACAGCCAGCATTTGCATTTTCGTGTGCCAGCCCCCAGCAGGATACAGGACAGTGTTGACAGTCCCACCTCACATCCAAGTAGAGGGTTAGATGTGCCATGGTGGAAACCACACCTTCATGGCTGTTAAAGTCTCCTTTGGTGGACATTCAGATCAGACAGGGCAAAATTCTGGTGGTCTGCAGGAAATGCACAGCTCTCAGCTGGGAAACAGCCTGAGCTGCTCAGACCACTAGAGGGGCCGGTGCTGGCCCCTTGGTCAAGAAAAAATCTCAGATTTCATGCTTCAGAGTTGCTCTCTTGGCGTCTTTCCTGAGAGCTTGATGCATTTATAGCTATAAGCATGCAAATGGTGTGCAGTATAATCACCCTGCTTGGAAATCCCAGCAGAGCAAATTATTTAACTCTGAAAAAATCCTTGGAGTAACTGCTTTGCAATATATGGAGCGGCGAGCATTTCAGAAACAGTCTAACTATGTATTTAAACAGTCATTACTGCCTTCTGGGTAAATAACACATGTTTTTGAAATGGTCTCTATACACAATAGACACTAACACAATAAATCCTAATTGCTCTGAAGGACCCATTAGGCACTATGAGGTCAATAAATGGTAGAGGTTTTTTGAAAGTCACTCACCATGTTGTTACATACGGCACAATTGGAAAGTCCATAAATAAGTATTTGCCCAATGAAGAGTGAGGGCTTTGCCAGGGCCATACTAATTTATCATGTCAACTTCACTATGGGGACTGTTTTCAAAGGCCAATGTTAAAAAAAAGAAAAAAAAATAAAGCAGTTGGGGGGGAGGGCAAAGGATGGTGCGATGTGTTTCAGAAAGTACGCATCTGAGAAGTTTCACACTACAAAATGCCCACCAAGAAAACCAAGTGTAAAGTTCACTGCCTCTTCCCCATCTTGGCGTTGTGTGAATCGCCATGAGATTTGAAGAGCCTTGTGGTTGTGGTGCTGGGGGCTGGGCTGTGGGGTGGCAGGGATCTTACCTTGCCCCCCCGACCCTTTGGGCCATGGCCCCAGTCCCGCCTCTGCCTTCTGTGCGCGGTGGTGGTGGTGGCACCTTGGGACAGGAACACCCCTTCTGTGCGCCAAGCATGCCTCACAGACCCCGGTCCCAGTCCCTGTGGAGACCAACAAAGCTAATCATGTGCTTCTTATGTGCTCACATAAATAATATTAAGTAATAGTTGACAAGTCCAGCAAGATGAGCTTCAAGTAAGCTGCTCTTGCCAATTTTACATTAATCTTCCTTATCTGAAGTTTTGGTTGCATTTTACAAACCAGAGCACTCCCATCAGCTGTTGGTACAATCCGTGTCACTGTTAGAAACCAGGTTTTGCATTAATTCACTCAGAAAGTGTCCAGTGCCATGTAGCTTCTTGAATATGACTCCAATTTGGCATGGGTTTGTTTTCTCACAGTATTTTACAATGTGTAATCGTGCAGGTAGATATAAAAACAAACAGTAGTGATGCAGGTTAGGGTTTTCAAGTTTAGCAAGGCTCTCATGGTGAAAAGCATTCAAGTGATTTAAATGTGAATTCCTGTCCCCAGCCGACAGCTTTCAAATCATTTGAGCTCATGAGAAAATGCTGCCCCCCCGCTGCTGCTGCACTTGGGTAGGATTCGGGTGCCAGGGTCCTGCTGCACGTGCTGGCAGCAATTCTCCGCCTGCCCTGCCCGCTCTCAGAGCATCACCCTGTGCCTCTGCCTGCCAGGTCCCTCCAGCAGGCAGGGACCATGGTCCCTTATAGGGCCCCCGCTCTGGGTTTGGGGCTGGCAGGTCAGTCTTGGTGCCAGGGCTTGCAGTGCTGGCAGCCCAAGGCCTCGTGTCTCAGGTGGGAACGCAAAGGGCTGGAAGCCGCCACAGCCCTTGCTAAGCCGTGGTTATCAGGGGTCACTGCTAATTTGAGCAGCGCCTGAGCTAGCACGGCCTCCAGCTGGGGTGAGTGACAGGCTGCCCGCCGGCACCAGGAGCCCCGAGTCACCTCCCTCCTGGCAGCCTGGGACTTGGCAGCAGCGCAGGCAAAACCGGGATTTGCTGCGCCAAGCAAGAGGGGTTGAGGGCCAGGGTCGGCTCACAGGTCCTGCGGCAGGGCTGTGCTTCCAGCCCGGCTTGGGTACGGCAAGGTCGCTGCTCCCAGCTTTGTCCCTGCCCACAGCCTGGGCTGAAAGGCTTTTTGCAGATGTCTGCTGGGTTCTCCAACAAGGGCAAGAGCAACAGCTGGCCTTTGCCAAGGAAGCTTGCTCAGCCTTTCCCTGAAGTGTTTTAAAAGTCACGGTATCCTTCACAAAAGTAGTTGGTAGCGGTAAACAGTGAATGCTGATAATAAAGCAGAGAAAGAACCAAAAGCAGAAATACTTACCATCTTCTTTCGCTCTGTTTCTACCAGAAACCACTTCATCTCAGCTGGAAATGCAACGATGAGTGGAAGGGGCGTCCGTGAGGACACGCGCTGCCAGCCCCTGCCCCTGCCCTTCGGGCTGGAGCCATGAGCAGGGCCAGGCCAGGCATCTGAGCAGACCTGTCTGACGTGGTGGAGCTTCATGAACGCCTCTGCACAGGGATTAAAGGTAAAGCAATTTCCTAATAATTTGTAGTTTATTAACAATGGCAGAAAGGTCTTAGGGGTGAGAAATACTTTTTCTTTTGTCTCCAGGATTTGGCACAGTAGGTTTCGTGCAGGCGCAGCGTCTGTCACTAATGGTGCTGGATGCACGTACTGCACTGTACTCTCGCGCCGTACTGTAGAGATGAATAACAAGCCCATCAACTGTACTTGCACTTACACCATATTTAATCCTGTTCTGGTTGCTCTGCTACATATTCATAAAACCAAAAAGGAAACAGAAGCACAGAGCAAGCCAACAGATGTCTACCTGTCTCTTAATTGGATTTTATGTGTCCCCAGTGTAGCAAATGCAGCATTATTTACAGCCAGGCTCTGAGAATTAGATACATCTGGAGGCGAGGCAAAACCTCAACCAGGCTACAAGGGTTGATAGATTAGCTGAAATGAAGAGCTGCCCCATTTTCCCCTTCTTATCTTTTCCCTTCCCCCCTGCGTACCTGTTACTCATTGTGTGTCAAATCAAACCAAGATATTGCCCAAGGGAATGATTATAAAAATGAAAAATACCGGCAAAACTGAGAATTTCTGCTCTTGCAGAGCTTCATCAGCGTTTTCTAATTGTACAGCAATGATGATAATAAAAAGGCTGCCCTCTGCTCTCAGCTGTAATTTGGATAATCAACTGAAAGCCGTAATGAAACTGTCTGTGATTGCTTTCTGCTGGGCTGCTAGTTCACAGAAACTCATGGTCGAGGAGAATTAAAAGTTATGACTCCTGCTACAGGGATGTGCAGTTGTGTTCAGAAGGGCATGTGACTGGTAGCACTGTGCCGCACAGCTTCAGAGCTGCCAAAACTTGCGGCGTGCAGCCAAGTGCCAAGGGGGCTCAGCCGAGCTTTGCTTCTGCCTGTTTTACAAACCGAGCTGTCCGGCTCCCAGGCGGACAGCGCCAAACGCACGCGTGGGCACGGCGCGTGTCGGTGCGCGGCCTGCAGCCCCCGAGCCCCTCGGAGCGTGGCTGGCGCTGTGCCGCCAGCAGCCGCAGCGCGCCCGGCCCCGGGGCTGCGCTGGGGCGGCGGGGCCGGGGCCCGCCGGGGGGCGCTGCCGCGGCGGGGCGGGGGCGGCGGCGGCGGCGGCGGGGCCGGGGGCGGCCCGGGGAGCCCGGCGGGGCGGGGCGGGGCGGGGCCGGGGCGGGGCCCGCGGCGCGGCGCGGTGCGGGGGCTCCCGGCCGCCCCAGAGCGCAGGTGGCGGCGGCGGCGGCGGCGGCGCCGGTCCCGGTCCCGGTCCCGCGGGGCCCCGCTCCCGGCCCCGCTCTCGGCGCGGCGGCGGCGGCAGGGGCAGGCGCCCGGGGCATGCGGCGGCGGTAGGGAGCGCGGCGGCGATGGGCGGCCGGGCTCTGCCGGCGCCGCTGCTGCTGGGGCTGCCGCTGCTGCTGGGGCTGCCGGCGGCGGGGCGCGCCGCTTCCAAGGCGCTGGTGTGCCAGGAGATCACGGTGCCGATGTGCAAGGGCATCGGCTACAACCTCACCTACATGCCCAACCAGTTCAACCACGACACGCAGGACGAGGCCGGGCTGGAGGTGCACCAGTTCTGGCCGCTGGTGGAGATCCAGTGCTCCCCGGACCTGCGCTTCTTCCTCTGCAGCATGTACACCCCCATCTGCCTGCCTGACTACACCAAGCCGCTGCCCCCCTGCCGCTCCGTCTGCGAGCGGGCCAAGGCGGGCTGCTCGCCCATCATGCAGCAGTACGGCTTCGCCTGGCCCGAGAGGATGAGCTGCGACAGCCTGCCAGTGCTGGGGGACACCGAGGTGCTCTGCATGGGCTACAACCACACGGAGGCCACCACCTTGCCGCCTTTCTTCGGGAAGCCCACGCGCCCGGCCAAGGACGCAGCCAAAAACCTGACGCCGCTCGGTGGGCAGCGCCCTGCGGGGACGGAGTGCGGGCAGACTTGCAAGTGCAAAGCGCCACTGATCCCCATCTCCAAGGAGTCCCATCCGCTGTACAACCGTGTAAGGACCGGGCAGGTGGCCAACTGCGCCATGCCCTGCTACCAGCCCTACTTCACCCAGGACGAGAAGACCTTCGCCACCTTCTGGATTGGCCTCTGGTCCATCCTCTGCTTCCTGTCCACCTCCACCACCGTGGCCACCTTCCTCATTGACATGGAGCGTTTCAAGTACCCTGAGCGCCCCATCATCTTCCTCTCTGCGTGCTACCTCTTTGTCTCCGTGGGCTACATCGTGCGGCTGGTGGCAGGCCATGCCAACGTGGCTTGCAACCCCGAGCACCACCACATCCACTACGAGACCACGGGCCCTGCGCTCTGCACTGTGGTCTTCCTTCTCCTCTACTTCTTCGGCATGGCCAGCTCCATCTGGTGGGTCATCCTGTCCCTCACCTGGTTCCTGGCTGCTGGCATGAAGTGGGGCAACGAGGCTATTGCTAGCTACGCGCAGTACTTCCACCTGGCTGCCTGGCTCATCCCCAGCGCCAAGTCCATAGCTGTGCTGGCACTCAGCTCTGTGGATGGTGATCCAGTGGCTGGGGTTTGCTATGTGGGCAACCAGAGCCTGGAGAACCTGCGGGGCTTCGTGCTGGCGCCGCTGGTGGTTTATCTGTTCACTGGCAGCCTCTTCCTGCTGGCCGGCTTTGTCTCGCTGTTCCGCATCCGCAGCGTGATCAAGCAGGGTGGCACCAAAACCGACAAGCTGGAGAAGCTGATGATCCGCATCGGCATCTTCACTGTGCTCTACACCGTGCCTGCCACCATCGTCATCGCCTGCTACATCTACGAGCAGCACAACCGGGAGGCGTGGGAGCGGGCACAGAACTGCTCCTGCCCAGGGGACCCCCACCGTCCCAAGCCCGACTACGCTGTCTTCATGCTCAAGTACTTCATGTGCCTTGTGGTGGGCATCACCTCTGGCGTCTGGATCTGGTCTGGCAAAACGCTCGAGTCTTGGAGGCGCTTCACAGCCCGCTGCTGCCGGCCCAGGAAGCCTGTGGGTGCTGCCGCATATGGCGAGGCCAGCCCGGCGCTGGCAGGCAGGACGGTGCTGCCCAGCATGGCCTCCTACCACAAGCAGGTCCCACTGTCCCATGTGTGACCGGAGGGAGCCTCGGTGACCCCAGCCACAGAGGGTTGCAAAGACCCCGTGCTGCAGAAGAGGGAGTGGTGGCACAGCCACCCCCGTGTCCCCAGCCCCGCCGCAGCGGAGCTGCCCAGGACCGAGCACGTGTGCCCGCGGGGCACGGAGCAGCCCCAGCCCTGGGCAGGGGCAGGTAGCCCTGAGGCCTCAGGGCAGGTTGTGCTGGTACCAGGGCACGGGGCAGAGCTGGAGCGGGCAGGGCTGGCAGTGTCCCCAGTGCCCAGGCAATGACTCGCACTGGCACTGAGCCTCTCATTGGAGCCGGGAGAGCTGGCTGGGGGGGAGAGGGGTGACCCCCGCCCTGCTGCGCCTGCATCCCCGGGCACAGCTGTGTCATACCAGAGAGGGCTGGGGGCCCCCGGTGCAGGGCGCGGGCGGAAGGATGGGAGCAGGGCTCTGTGTCAGGAGGAGAGGGAGGGCACTGCACAGGCTGGGGGTTACACAGGCAGAGGTAGAACAGGGCTCAGCGAGGACCTGCCACCTGGCCTCCGGGATGGGCAGAGACAGGGCCCGGCTTTCTGCCACGCAGCCAGGGGCCAAGTGACCCCAGGGTCCCTTTCTCTGCATGGGTGCATGCTGGTTCCACGGGCAGGGCTGGTGCTGGGGCCACACCGGCTCCAGTGCTGTGGGAAGGGTGGGCGCTGCTCCGCGCCTCTGCGTTGGGGTGAGTTTCTGGCGTCTCCCTGGCGCTGTGCAGGCTGCCTGGGCTGAGGCGGGGGCCCCAGCACCCTGCCTGCCCGCCCGGGCACGCAGCGCAGCGGCTGAGCGTGGCAGAGCCGGCCGTGCCGGGGCGGTTGCGTTTCTGAACTGGGTTGTGTGTGCATGGGGGTTTTCCGAGGCAGACAGTCGTCTGTCTTGAGAAACAGCTGGGTCCTCTAGCAGCCAGCCGATTTCAGCTCGTCTTGCTGCTTATTTGAAAGCTATGCCTCTGTCAGAGACAGCACCAGGTTCAGGAGTTACCAGTTCACTTAGGAAAGCTCAGCAGAGCACTCGTACTCCTTTCCCCCCAGCTCCACAAACCTTTTTTGCTTCCCTGGGGTTTGGCAGGAGCAGGGCACTGACAGAAGCAGTGCATGGCATTAAGCCACCATGACGGCAGGGCTTCAATAAGTAGGACGCTGAGGGGCCCTGTGTCAACCTCACGGAACAGTGGTGAGGCTGGGGGAGCTCCAGAGGCAGCAGGGGACGAGAGGTGGCTGCGGCTGGCTTCAGCCCCCCCCCCGTGAAAGCACCTGAGGGATTGGTGATTCTTTTCCCCCTGCCCTAAACAGCGGTCATGTACGTAACTGCCCAGTGATTACTCGAGTTCTTTTTGCCCTCTTTCAAGCGTGGCACTGTGACCTGGCTGCTCAAGCACAGGAGAAAAGCAGCTGGCTTTGCTCCTGTGGGACAGCGTGGGTCTGAGGTTGTTCTTGACACCCTTGGACCACCTCAGTCAAGGAGCTTTCCGCCTCAGTTTAAAACCAAAGCCCAGGAAGCGAGGGGCCACTCAAATGGCACATCTACTGATAGAGGCACTGCCAAGACACTGCATGCGTGTCCCTGTGGCACTGTAGAGAGCAGCTGGTGGCACAGGGTTGGAGTACTCTGCAGAAACTTTTTAGATGCAGGTATCAGCACTCTTACAACAGAGGGCTGGCTCACTCCAGCATGTTGCAGTACTTCAGCTTGGACAGAATTGCACCATGTTCTGTTACAAACTGTAAATAGTTGTATTATAGCCTGTTTTGTACATAGAGGAGCCGTAGTGAACTTTGATACGGGTTTGGGACAGGTGTGTTCTCAGCAGTGGGGCAGGTCAGGTGCAGAGATGCTGTGGGTAGGCTCATGTTGTTATCCCGGGCATTAAATAATTCTAACTTGATCCAATCCACGCCTCACTGGACTTGTCTCTTTCTATAGTGCCTTTTGTAGATACAGCTAAATACACACCATGCAATACAGTGAACAAAAACATGTCAAAGGTTGTGTTTTGTTTTTTTAAAGTGTAACTGACTATGTAAAAAAAAAAAAGAAAAAAAATCAAGGTTAGCTGCAAACTGTTGCCTGTTGAAAAATGCAAGACTAATGGCAGGTTAATATAGTCAACTTGTATTTGAACCTGGCTTCTCAGCAACAAAGCACAGGCTGGAGAGAAGGAACATTGTCTTATGCCCTATATGCTGTAGGTAATTTACATCTTGGTTTTGCGTCTTCAGTTACTGATGTTGTTCAACTTTGTTAAAATAACTGTATTATATTTTGTGAAAAGATGAAGAAGTTTTATTCAAAGAGAAGTATAGAGATTAGTTATTTATGAGGAAAAAAAATGTGTGTTGTTTTCTTTGCTTCTGCTAGACTAATAATTACCACAAAACCTTACTGTGGGGAAGGAGGAGGAGTGTGCCAGAGGGCTGTGTTGGTCTCCTATCAGCAGGGATCGTATGGGACTGGTGAGGCAATTGCGCTGGCACGGTGCGAGACTCACCTGCTAGGCGTGCTGAACCCCACGCAGCTCTGCCCTCGGTGTGGGGCTGTCACACACCAGCAGTGCTGGAGTGGAGGCACCCAAAAAGGCACAGTGAGTCCCAACCTGGTGGCAGCAGCCTGGCTCTGGTCTGGGCCTCAGGGCTGCTGTGCTGGCAGCAGGTGCCCATGGCCTCACTGACAGCATTTCCCTGACGGTCCAAGGTCACACCTCAGTGGTGGCAGAGGGTTAACGATCAACTTTTATTGGTGTTCTGCAGTTTGCTCAGTATCAGTCCCTCACCCCGCACTGAGATCAGGTGCTGAAGAGTTGCCCTTTGGTTTGTGCCAGGCCAAACGGATGACAGCTCTTAGGCAAGTAGGATGTTGTGTGCTGATTTAAGCATCCGTGTTGCCATCTGCTATGTACTCTCCTGTGTTGGGAAGAGCACTCCATGAGGACAGCAAGGGGTTAAGCTGGCTGCGCTGTGACTAATCGTGCAGGACTCTGCTATCTAGTTAGGTGTGTAGGCACACACGGGTCCCACCAGATAGGATCTCTTACCTGGAAGCAGCATTCCAGCGCCCAGCGATAAAACTGACGGAGAGCCGACAGCGCAGCCTGACTCACCTGATCCCGCCATGCTGGTGATCTGCTCCCCGCCCTGTGCTCAGGTACAGCCAGAACAGTCAGAGGCTGACTGAGCGAGGAGCTGAAGACACCCACCACCTGCCTCTGGAAATAGCACCCCATTGGCAGCAGCGTTACCACCTTCACATTCCAGGAAGCCTCCACATCCTCAGCTCTTCAGTAAACAGAGGTTTGGCAGAGCTGCCATCCACTGCCACCTCAAGACAGTGTTTTCATTTCAAGCAAGGGAAGGGCCATTACTACAGGCAGCTGTTGGTGAGCCACCTGCAGGACTCTGCTCCTGCATGGCAGCACAGAGCCCACCCTGACAGCGCATATTCCATGCCCCATTTGGAAAACTCAGGCTACCCTTGAGGTAGTCACTGGCTTCCTTTGGAGTTGAATAGTGCAAACGCAGCAAAAGTTCACTTACTTGGTGGTATGGGGAATGACAGTACCTGACAGCACAGGGAGCATGTGTCCTCACAAATGGGGTTCTTATATCACAGGAGCAGTAGGCAATGTGGTGGTTTCTTCTAGCAATGCCTGTCCACAAAGGCAGCCTGAGACTTCTATGGCAAACAAACCCACGGTCAGCCACATGCATTCCTCAGCTATTAAACTCGGGGGGGTGGAGAGGGGGTATATTAGTACAGCAGTGCACTTATATTCACTTCTGTAGCGTCACACTGCATTTGGTGTGATTGCCTTTTTTTTTTTACAGAGAACATCATGAGAAAGCCAGGCCTAAGCAATGCTGCTGCACTATTGCCCTGCGGGAACAGCAGCTCAGGACAGGGCAGCAGCCCTCCCAGTGCTGAGCTCTGAACAGGGCGGGCTGCCCACACATGGCTGCCAGCTCCACTGCGCAAGCTCTCACCTCAATTGCTCTTGTGGCCTCTTCTGCTTGCTCAGGTTAGTCTTGATGCCTATATTCTTATCCAGAAGCAATGTTCTTGACATTTATTCCATCCCTGAAGTGCCTGTCCTCTTAACTGCCAAACCCACACTGAAGTAGTTCTCATAAAATTCCCTTAGAAACAAAATACACAGTCTCCATACACAAAGGTAGAGGCCTGCTGAATCCCAAGGGCCAGATGTAGCCCAGAAATAGTGATTTGCTCCCCATATGGACAACAAACACACAATGCTTGTATTATGCTTGATGGGCCACGATGTAGCTACTGTCTAAGCAAACTATTTTCCTACCATTTGAGGAGTACTACCCTGGAACTGAATGCAGCCAGAGGTTAGCTCACCACAGATTAAATATTATTCAGCTGTTGGGTAGCAAGAAACAAGCGTTCCTGTCACAAGATACGTCATTCCTGTAGGTGAACAGAAGGAGCAGAGGTAGGTAATATTCACTTTAATCCTACTATGATTATAATTTTTATTTTGCCTTTGTAAGAACAGAACTGCCAACATTAGGAATAGCAGAAGTTACAAGGTATCTCCCCACGCCAGTTCAGCTCACAACAGACCCACCTAAATAGAATTCTCTCTGAAACAGTATCACTGTTCTTCCTCTGAAGTGCGCTCTGTAAGTTTTACTTCTTATTGGTTACTGAAGAAATGCTGTAGGTTTGTTTTCCAGGCTCTCTTTCAGACAGACCAGAATGTTAAAATGTTAAATGGAATTGCTGTTCTCCCTTCTCTTAAGAGGTCATGTAGTAGTTGAGCTCTATTTAGTATCTGCTGAGCAGATCAAAATCCTATTGACTAAGTGCTCTGGGCTAAGCTACAGAAAAACTGGAGCCAGTTAAGGCTCTAGACAAAATTAAGTTATAAGCAGCAGCCTCCTGGAAGACAGGATGCAGAAGCAGCTGTCAGCTTGAGTCGTCATTTACCTGCCAGCCAGATCAGCAGGAAGAGCCTTCATCTCCTTTGGCAAAAAGGTAAAGGGCCTGCCACAAGTCTCCTGCACACCTTGGAGCTGAATGGCTGTATCTGCAGAAACCACGTGCCAGCCCGCAGTGAAGTGAATCCAGACTGACCTCACAAAGTTGAAGGCATCTGGCAGTGCTAAGGAAAGAAAAGCTCATTAGCAATTAGGTCACAAGTCAATCCAGGAGTTGGTCACTCGTAGCTTCCAATTTAGCACTCCTCAAGGGAGGACTTAAAAACATAAAATCACCTCCAGACAGATTCACCCTACTTAAAGGTCATTTATGTGCAAAGAAACTGTCAGTGATTAGTTACTGGAGCAGCCTGAGCCCAGTTCCAAGTGGAAGCGATGCAGGGGAATAGCTGGGCAGCTTCATAAGGCTCCTACCACTCCTTCAGCTGAAGCCAGCTGCCAGGGCCCTGCCTGATGCTGCAGACTGAGCACTTCACAGTTGCCAAATGACCTCTGCTGCCGGCTCCAGAGACGTTCACAAGTAACTGCAGTAAAATGAACACAGGGTGCTGGTACTGGGAAAGGGGAAGGCCCTAATGCACACCACTGATTTCCCCCCCCCCCCCCTCCCCAGCTTTTTCCGTAACTTGAAAGAAACTGCACAGCACCAAATACTTGTGAGGGGAATGAAATCAGACAACTGTACAGAACACACATTTACCTTTAACTTTAATTAAAATAGAGTTTATTAGCTTTTCTTTTAATACAAACATGAGAAAGGAAAACCACCTGAAGATGTAGCATTATTTTCAAAATTGAATTGCGATCAACCTGAAGTGCCAAGTTCCATGGATTTGAGAGCCAGGGGCTGGCATATTTGCATACCACAAGAGACTTTATGCATCATTTTAACAGTTGAGTGCAGCCAAACCGACTGCACTCAGACATCCCCACTCTCAAAAGCGTATGGACTTGCTATTCAGTGTAAGTTTCTGGACCTTGGCTGGAAGAGGAAGTGCACAGAAACTGTGCTATTTGGAGGGAGATCTGCTCCTAGGACAAACTGCCTAGAATCTATTTGGATCCAAGAAGGGAAGATATTACAAAGACTTGTAACAGGAAGAGTCTAATAATACTTATCCTGTTTAGAGTTCAGGTTCAGAGCCTGATAGTGAGGTCCCATTCCAAAGTCTCAGAAGGAACAAAACCCAAGAGCAGTTGCACAAGATAAAATTCACTTTAGGGGGAAAAAAAGTTTTAAAGAAATATTTTTGACAATTATAAACTGAACTTTTTTTTTTTTTTTTTTTAAATCTACCCTGTTAGGTAGTCCAGGATTCTCAAACTCATTACTGTCTTATTATGAATATAAATCCCTCCCAAGAAACAAATACTCAAGGAGAGCCAGATGGATGCACAATATCAGCTTTAGGAACTCCACTGTATATAGCACAAGAGATCTGCAGTAGAACTCGAGAAGCAGTGCTGCACACATGCCATTTACCACTGGATTGCTACACTGTTTAGGATGGTGATGATGTTTCCAGACCAACTTTCTCATTCAATGCCTCAGAAAAATATACAGATTGCGTCTCTTCCGGAGCAATAATAAGTATTAGAAAATGAGAGAAGCACCATAATTCACAAGAAATGCAGCATGGACCCTATATATTTTAACAATACATAAAACCATCTCTCTGCCCCCAGACAAAACATTCAAAGTCTTTTGACAATCTTTACCGGAGTGAAGTTGGTGCAGAGCTGGGATTCCTTCCTGCTGTGCAGCTTCTTGGTTACAAACAGATCACCAATAATAGCAGCTTTTAGTAGCCAAACCAGGGAACAAACCATCAACACATGTCTATGCTATTGTTTTCAGCTCCAGAGTGGCTTTATACTTTAAAGAGTCCCATTTTCTGTTTTGTTTTTGTTAACACTGCATTTGCCTGAAATACAAATGCAGTGAGACTCTGGATGACAGGGGAGAGGAGGGAAGAACATTGTAACTATAGTCATGTGGTTAGTGTTTAACTTCTAAAATTTAAAACTACTTATTATTAAAAACCTCAAGAGTTCACAGCTATAGGCCTACATAGTAAGCAAACATCTGTGGGGAAAAGATGGAGAGAAGTTTGTTTTTGCACCTCTGGATAAATTAAAAGGAGGAGAGAGTTGATTTGATAAAGGTCTTGTCTTTTGCACCAAGTATGCTCCTCAAGCTCTGGGCTCCCTTGGCTAATTTTACCCCTCCTCTCCTCCTTTTGCTGGAAGACACCATCACCGCTGGCTTGTGTGCATGGAGTGGTGGTATTCCTCCGATTGATATGGATGCTGGTTCATGGTGCTGCACCTTTCTCTCTCCTCAGGAGAGGATGGCATTAGAACGGCGGATACCAACTAAATTATCAGCACTGAAAGATCGTCTCATAGCAGCTTTTGACAAGTCTTTGTATTTATCTTCACACAGCCGGGAGATAGCCTAGGTATCATGTTCAGAAACAAAAACAAAAATACACATTAGAAAAACTGGAACATTTAAAGGAGGCTTTTACAAGTGTCATACCAACACAGCAGGCACCCTGTAGCTGTGACTTTTTTTTTTTTAAAACCAAGAATGACAGTAAATAAGAACTACTTTGGAGGGAAAATATTGAGGGGGTTCCTCCCCATGCTAACAAGAATCCTATCCATCTGGAATTAAGACATTAGAAAGGTGAGTGGTTTCCATATCTGAGTATCTTCATTCATCTGCCAGTCTCATTACCTAATGGCAAACTTGGATTCATTTCAGACTTACAAGTTTGTGCAAGTTATGTACAGGAGCGCACACAGTAGCTAGGTCTAGTGTTTAGGTTTTTAACAGCACAAAAATGCATATAGCAAATTTTCTCATTTATGAGAGAAAAGGCTCAAGCTAAAATGGTTTCTGCACTTCCTCAAGTACCTTGCCCTTGGCCACTCAGTGAAAACAAAGCTGTATTAGGACCTCTAGTTTTGCCCTTACTTTCTCTACGCCTTCTTCCCCAAGCTGCTCTTCCCAAGATCACTCACGTGATCAGGTCAAGAAGGGAGGGCAGCCCACTGCTCAATGGCACAGCAATAGCCATGGCACTAACACAGCTATTAAATACCAGCACGTGTGGACAACTTAATATTTAATGGCTTTTTCAGCCACTTACTGGCTTACCTCTTCTCTGCTATTTCAAGCAGCTTTTAGTCCGGTGCAGCTTTTCTAGTATCAAGCCAAATTATTTCAATTCTAGTAACACAATTGTCCAGAAAATAACGTGTATCCTCCCCATAAAGTCTATTTCTGATTGAAGCTTTCAGACATGATCAATGCAAACAAGTAAGGATGCCAGTAATAAAAGGCTGAACTGAATTTCAGTTCTGAACATTTACTTCCATTAATTATTTACCATCTAGCACCAGATGAACTTTCAGAGTCCTGCAATAAGCTACAAGCCTACACCTTCCCTTTAAGGCAGAACCCATTCAGCACAGCCAAGTGTTCTGGAAGTTCAAAAGGTGAAAAGCACTCTGAGCATGAATAAACTCTTAAGTGTATTTTAAAATAATTATTTACATTTATTTCTGCCGACCTTCTGGAGGCATGCATTTGGCTCAAGAGTGGCATTCTTTGAGACACTGGCTGTATGAGCTCCCAGTGCAAGACCAGACAGACTCTCCATCCTGTTCTAATGCTAGCACATCAATCATAAGGCAACCTGTGTTGACATATTTAGCCCCAGTCACCCACATGTTGTAAATCAGTTTTCAGTCCCTGGAATACTAATTCACTGCTTCATAAGGGCTCCTATCAGCTTCTCATGTGCTTCTAACAGAAAGGTAGAATTAAAAAGAAGTTTAGCAAATGGTTTAAATATTTATCATGTTTCAGAATTAGAAATCAAAATGCCCTCTGTGTGTTAGTAGGTGTGTTATGGCAAATAACACACCATGCTGAAAATTACTCTGGTTTTAAAATACCAAGCTCCCAAATGCTAGGAAAGAAGAAACAAAACAGGCTCACAATCTGTAAATCATCCACTTATGCCATAGGCACTGAGCAGTTCAGTAAACAATTTCCTGTGGAATATGAACTGCCCTACAACCACATTTACAATTAGTGACAGTGTTAGCTTAAAGTGCAAGTAACAAGGGTGAGACAAAGCAGAAGAGCTGCATTGCTTAACTTTAAATAAAGGAATTTGTAGACATATCATACCTATCATTCCAAAGGACCAGGAGGGATCACACTTATTCCCAAAGTTCAACCACTTTGGGATGAAATAAAAAAAAAAGGCACTTGGCAGAATTATTGGGGGTGGACAATAGACAAGAATACCATAGCACACCCCTTTTTGAAAGGGGTTATGGTATCAGTGTACACAGGGCCTGCATTAATGCCTTTGTTGAAAGGTCAACAAAACAACATGCACAGTCATCAATTAAACCTGGACAGATGAAAGGTTGCACTGATCCAACAAGAAATTTTGCCTGGGAACCCAGGTAGTTTAGATATTTTCAAACTATCGTATATATATTCACCAACAAGGAATAAAATCTGACACTTGAAAAGGTCTTCAAAACAAGCCTTCGTATGAAGGAATGCTGTGGGGACTTGCAGCAGGGCAGCCTTCTCCATTTAGCAAAAAGGGTCAGTAATCTATATTTATACTCCTCTGGACATGCTGAAGTACTCCTAAGAAGCAGCTATTCCAAAAGTTTGTCTTAAAGCAACATTTCTTTGGAAACGTGAGGTTCTAAAGATTGCGAAAAGAAACATACTATTTCTGCAGCTGCCCCGCTAACAAATGGTTTATTAAACCATGAGAGCAGTAAGAGCACTCCCTCTAAATTTAAAAGCAGCTGTGCAGTGGGATGCAGTGGGAAACCTTCAGCTGGTAGTATTTAGAAAGGTCCAAGTGTGACTGTCTCTAGGTGCTTGGAATACTGACTGTGACCAGGGAAGAACAGACAATCCATTACATATGACACTAATCCTTTCACTCTTCAGTAGCCTAGCTGAACTACAGTTCCAAAAATCCATTTTATTTAGTGATCTGCTAGACTTCCATGATCTCTTTTCCCTTCCCTTCCTCAGGATACTAGTTTAGCCTAGGTATGATTTTAAAAGCGCTAACTGTAGTTATAAAGGGGTTAAATTAGCCTGTAATAGTAATACACTAATCTAAAAGCTTTTTAGTTTTTCTAACCGCCACTTAATATGATTAGCAACAGATGCTCTTACTACACACGCACACACACAGTCCCCTGCTCAGCCAACCTCAGACCATTACCTCCAGTTTCTGTGCTCTCTCTTTACTAAGAGGCTCCAGCAGAAAGCTCAGGTTATTGTCATCTGCTAGGGAGCGGAGATCAAAGTAGTATTTGGCATAAACACTGGCAGGAACATTGATATTAAACTGCAGTAGCTCCAAGAAGTGTCTTTCCATCTCATTCCTAGGAGGCAGAAAACAAAGGAAAAAAAGATTGTTTCAGCTGGCAGAAAATTCTGAAGAGACCTCAAGCTAGTTTTTAAAACCAGTAACTTTGAAATAGTCATCGAGAGGCCTGCATTATTAGTTTCAAGAGACAGTTCATTCACTGGTGCTCAAAACAAGGTGCAGCTTTTGAGTCCTGGCACCTTCAGCTAAGAGAGAAAGGTAGTGCCCTGTCGTGCACTCACTCGGCTGACCAGGAGGCTCATTCTTCGGAGTTCCATTAGTGCAGCTGTACAATTCATGCGCCATTCTCACTCTCTTGTACGGCCCCACACTATAGTGATCAGATGAAAGGAATGATGTATGCTGTTTATTAGCTCTGAAGAACTTGCAGACATTTTCACCAGGCTGATAACAGGAAGGGGGTTTATTGAAGTAGAGGCGAACTAACAAAAGGAGTAGGCAGATCACCACGGCAACAAATGGATCTATGAAGAGCTGCTGCTATTATCTCACAGAAAAAAGCCTCTTGAAGCAACATGGATTCATCTCCAATAAATAAATAAATAAGCAGCATTAGGTGGGAGAAGGAATTTTCTCCTCAATAGCATTAGGCAGGATAACAAAGTACTGTGTCAAAGGGCACTGTCCAGTTTTTACTCACTCGTCTATTTTCACTGGGCAAAATATTTGGAGGAAAGTGGGGAAAGAGCTGTGACATAAAAAGAAGGCTGTTTCAGCTACTGTACCATGGTCAAGTATATCAGAAATGTTCTACAGAGGAAAAACTTATTTTAAATAAACAAATCAACCTGGGAGAACTGGGTGGTACCCAAACCAAGCAATTCAGTTCAACACTAAGTCACGGCGACTGTTCCTACTGGCAACAGACCTTTATCTATAGGATGTAGCAACTGTGTAAGTCAAGTGTAAATACACCAGGAGATACGTTGCACAAATTCAGTGCCAAGGCTGTTCTTGCTTTTTGGGAGCTTTTAAAATTGATGTTTTACCTGTCAGGGAAGAAATAAATGAAGGAATCATCCAGGTTGTGTCCTGTATTGGATGGTGGGTCTCAATATCAATAGCAGCTTTGTGCTTGTTTCTAGCACAGTGGACTTGAGCACCATTGAACCTAGTGCCAAAATTAATTTCCTGTTCATATGGTCATAAGCCTATAGAAATGTAAATCAGATAATGTTTTGATGATCAGCTGATCAGAGCTTGATTTACCCTGTGAATAAATGCTCTTCACTGCCCCTTTTGTACTCACTACACTAATACATTTTAATTGTATAAAAATACAATTCTTCATTGGATTAACAAGACTATTAATAGTGGTTTAAAACCTGGAAAAGCATAATGCCCATGTGTTTTCTGTGCCTTATTTACAAATATATGTAGCTGAAAGAATGAACAGCATGTGTCCCCTTAACAAGCAATCACAGCAAGATTAGCAGCTGCACAGTTAATTTTTCAGTGATTATGGATTCACTCTCATCAAAGCAAGCAAGTTTTGACAAAGGATGACTTCCAAATATCAGTTTAATTCCCTTTGATTTTTTCCCCCATTAGAAGTAAACAAGCAAAACCAAAACAGGCCCCCCCGAAAAAACAAACAAAAAAAAAAACAAACAACAAAACACACAAAGAACACCACAACCAAAAAGACATTTTCAGTTAAAAACAAACACACACAAACTTTGCTTTGGTCAAAGGAGAAAGGGCTTGTAGTAGGAAAAAAAGAAGATGAGCATTTTATCTATCTTGAGTGGAAGGAAGCTAAGGCAAACTAATTCATCTGTGACTCATGAGGCCAGTAGCACACATTCTTTAGCAAATCACAGAATCATGAATGGTTTTGGTTGAAAGGTACCTTAAAGATCATCTGATTCCAGTCCCACTGCCATGGGCAGGGACACCTCCCAGCAGACCAAGTTGCCCAAAGCCCCATCCAGCCTGCCCTTGAACACCTCCAGGGGTGGGGCATCCACAGCTTCTCTGGGCAACCTGTGCCAGTGCCTCACCACCCTGTGACTGAAGAATTTATTTGTAATGTCTAGTCTAAATCTCTCCTCTTTTAGTTTAAAACCATTCCCCCTTGCCCTATCACTCCACTCCCTGACAAAGCATCTTTTTCTACCTTTCCTGTAGGCCCCCTTTAAGTATTAGAAGGCCGCTGCTGTAAGGTCTCCTTGAGGGCTTTTTTGTTGGGGCTGAACTCAGCCTGTCTCCATAGGAGAGGAACTCCAGCCCTCTGATTATCCTCGTAGCCCTCCTCTGGGCTTGTTCCAATATGTCCATGTCCTTCTTGTGCTGAGGACCTCAGAGTTGAACACAGGGCTCCAGATTTGCTCTCATGAGAGCAAACTTTAATACACAAGTGGTTTCTCTGACAGCCACACAGCTTGCTGCTAGCAGAGAGTTGTGAGGCAAGGCTGCAGAATGTGTGTCTGTAAGCAGCAAGGGGTGTGTTTGGTAAGGATGAGCTGCACCTACCCTGTCTTTAGAAGAGGTGGCTGCCTGTGGTCCCATGGCTTGTGTGTATGTACAGATGTTTACATACACAGATGCACATGCATGCAAGCTGGTTGACCTGAAACTGATAAAAATCCTTTTGCCAGTTTCAGACTGGTATAAATCCCAGGCTTGACTTGCAGTGGCTAAACAAGAGTATGCATTAGGTTAGTAAGATCATTCTAGGTATTTCAAACAGAGGAAAATTCACAAACAAAGCTTGCTAGCAGTCCCTGTAGACAGACCTTTACTGCAACAGGAATGACCCACCTCGTAGAGTCTAAGTGATCTGTAGTTCAGGAGCTGCTGGGGTTTGGGGCAATTTTCCCACCACCACACACACACCCCTGACAGTGTCATCAACCATCTCCAATGTTAGAATGCAACTGTGCCTGACATCTTTTGTCAACTTTTCTCTCAGAAATGCTTCTACTCAGACTAACTACTGTTCACCATCAGGTAGCTAGTTTAAAGAATATAGTGTTATAAGCTTAAAACTCAGTTTTGCTGACTAGTCTAAGCACTTCGCCAAGGTCCTGATTGTGGTGATGTTGCCCAATCCAGGAACAGTGAGCTCTGCCCAGCTGTATCAGCACAGGGCCTAGCTGGACACCCCAGCCACTATCAGAAAGGGGTTGTGCAGTTTCTGCCCACATCTAAATTCAAAGGTCCAAATCATTTGGAATGAGAAGAGATTACAAAATTCCCATCCTCAAACCGGGGAGGAAAAAACCACCTAATTTATTTATTTATTTTTTTCCCCCAGCACCATCACTGCTTTGAAAATGTAAGTACTGACAATTTCAGGAGACTCAGCACTGGCAATAGAGAATAAACATCCTGCTTGTTACACATATTTTCAGTGCTATCAATTTGATTTGTCCCAAATAGGGCTAGAAGAAGGGACATCAAAAAGAGCAAGATGTATACTCCAGCACTCCTAGCATCGCTGACCCCACTTCAGCCATCTCAGAGTTATTTGCAGCAATGCTTCAAGTATGTTCCTCAGATAGATGAGCACTCTGAGCCAGGTTGAGTGAAGATGTACATTGTATAAAATCACTAATTATGCTTTCCAGAAAGCAGGCTGGCACAGCCCTGCTTTTGGAGACAAAGAACTCTCAGGCAAGGGGTATGCATAAAACAAGATACTATGTTTGCTGTTGATATTTGCAAAACAAAATAATTTGAAACACAAAAACTGTTTCATTGAAACAAACTCTTCTATTTTTAGATATTTCCTACCCCTCTCCCCCCCAAAAAAAAGCAACCTAAAAGGAACAAATCTGGATATTCCTCCTCCTAAAGGAATTTATCCTAGATAGATATTTACTTACTGTATTTTAAACATTAGCTCTACGCTGAATCCAGGGTAGAAAGCTTTGGGCAAGAACAGAGTATTTAACTTAAGTAGCCTACTAGTGCTGTGTATAAACTGCTACCACCTCAGTGTTCTCTTGTACTAGAACTGGCTTTTACTACATAAGCCTGGACACAGTCACAGCACAACAGCACGACAGAACTCAAAAAAGGACAGAGCATTTCACAAAGTTTATTAAAGCCAGAAAGCGTGATACGAAGCTAGCTTTCTAGGATTTCTACCACCATGATAAAGAAAATGCAGGAGATTGGCTAGAAGAACTAGAAGTGTTGACATCTCTAAGCTTTCAGAAAGAGCTTCGCAAGAAGGAATTTAACAGAAATCTTATGGGTCAAATCTGTTCCACATAAACACACCTCTAGCCTGTAGCGTGGGCCCACAACCACAAGGATGAACATCCTCTGAAACTGCAGGGTTTAAAGCTGAGTGCAGCAGGAAAAGAGAACGGATTCAAAATTTTTGAAAAAATGATCCAGGATCGGAGACAAGAATATATACAAGAAACAGCTTTACGTAAACAAGGAGTGGTAAGACTGAGAAATTTGTTCTCAGCAATGTAGGCAAGTTTATGAATTCACCCAAAGAGGAAGACCTGTAGCAGCATCTAGATGCAACACACGGAGCAATAGATACCAACAGAAATGACACCTGTCTGCCACCTTGAAATACTTAAATGTTTGCTCCTACATCTAGCCAAAGCCTAAGTCAAAAGTGACAACTTACCTTGCAATTTTTCAAATTCTAAAACACAATAGGCAAGGAACAAGTTTAGTTCTAACAGTTTATTTTTTTTTTTTTCCCCAGAAAGACTATTGGTAAGAATAAATGTAGGGCACTTTGAAGTTACACCAATGCAAGGCAGCCAGTCCCATGGCTCACCACTGGAGGAAAAAGGTTAAAAGAAAACTGATTTTGAAGTTACTCAGCCCAGTAGTCAGAAATACTAAACTAGATTTGTCTCAAAGCAAGGTTAACCCAAGTTTCCTAGGTTAAAAAAGGGAATGAGGCCTGACACCAGACATCATAGCACCAGAGACATTTTTTTCAGTAAGGCATGATCACAAAAATTACCATTCTGGAAGAACAGATTAGTCAAACCTTGCAACTTACATGTCCTCAACAGTAATGTCCTTCAATATTTGGCAATAATCCACATTCCAAACAGCCTGATCATCCCAGACTTTGGAAGCCAGCAGAATAGCTCCTAAGACTATCCTCTTCCAGTTACTAGGGCAGATGTCAATCTCTGCATAGGTTAAAAGCCTTTCCAAATAAACCTATAAAAAAAAAAGTTTTACATGTGTAATTAAGATCTAGAGCTGAGTTGTGACTAGCATGTTTGGCTGATCAAATATGCAAATATATTTTATCCCATTACAACTAGGTGTATAAAAATAAATATCGGTGGGTAACTACTTACACTTTAGAATCCCAGCTTTCAAGAGTTAGAGGTTTGTTTCTTTATTGAAAAAAGTGAACTGGACCACCAAGGTATAAAATAAAGATACTGAAGAATCAGTTCTGAGCAGCAAGTACTGCTGTTATAGTGAAACACTGCTAGAGTTCTTTCAGTCAGTCACTGACAAGGCCTATTAGGGCCTATCTGGGATAGTAAATCACTCAACACCACGCTAGCCTTTTATCATGGTTAAGGTTCAGCACTCGCAGCTTAACAGGAAGTACTAAAACTAGCACTGTGATCTATAGTCATTGGACAAAGATGCATTAATTGATATCTCTCCACAATAAGGCATTATAGTACTATTTCTGCTTCATCCTCCAAGAAACAGACTTCATTCCTTTACCTACAACAATGTCATCCTCCACTTTTATCTACATCAGTGAGATATCTAAGTTCAAAGATATGTTAAGATATGTTCCCATGCAATCTCAAATTAGCCCAAAGATATTGAAGCAATGCCTTCCTTAAAAGTTTTCTACTATTTAACACTCCTGTAATGGTCTGTGTACTAAATAACTAGCATTTTCAAATTTGAATATTACATTATATATAATATTATATATATAAATAATTTGAATATAGATCGTTTTTGACATTGCATTCCCTAAACCTGGTGGGTACAGGAAGCTGTTGAATAGGTCCAGTGGCAGGGTCAGTACCTATTACCAGGGTCTCCTTATGCTTTCTTCCCATCCTTTGCTTGTTACCTTCAAGTGGACTAAAAGTGTTCCTATAATAACAGAGCCATCTAGTGGTAAAGTCCACTTTAAAAACAACTATTTTTTGTTAAATATTTCAGCTGGCTAGATTGCCTGGGGTTATCATCTTATTCTGTCAAATCGTCTGTGTATCTTTGGAAAAGCAAAAACCTCAAACTACTCTGAGTTTCAATAGCTCTAACTATATAGCCCTTTTAATTAGCTTACTTACTTAATAAAGAGTCCTTCAAGCTGAGTCTACTTAGTTGCCACACTGTCTTTTGGTGACAGTTCTTTTCTGTTCTCCTTTCAAATTTTTTAGCAGTCAGAAACCACAATGAAGACTGAAGTCTAGTGTGCAACGAAGTGCAGAGTTTAAGAGATTTTCTAATGCAGTGATTATATAGGTTGTGTCTTTTCCTTCCCCTTTACGTACTTACAGGTATATACCTGCATGTGTGTGCATATGTGCACGTAGATTCACACATACATACATGCAGACAAACTTAAATGTGTACGCATAAAGAAAGTGATCAGTATCATCATTTTTCTTAATCCCATCTCTGTTTTGGAAAGCAAACACCTGTAGTGAACTTACATCCTTTTACAAGTATTCTTAAGTTCCAAGTACATCCACATCACCTGGGGAAAAGGTCAAAAAAAAAGAAAAGAAAGGGGGCAGATAGAGAGGTGGCAATGACTGAAGGACATAATGAGAAAGTTTAGCTCATGGAATTCCTGCAGTATTGATCCTTAACCCCTTAGGGTGTGTTATTTATGCACTGTTCTTAATATGAAGTCAAATCTCCTGCTCTTGCCTCCATACCTCTGAAATAAAAGATGTCTTCGCATCTCATCTTGGTATACCCTGTTTATCTTATACCATTTTATCTGCCCTTTTCAAGCTTCTTCACCGAGTTACGTATTATGAAATAAACAAATGTTTCATTGGACAAGTAATAAAGCATTACATATTTATAGACAGGAAAGGTAGTTCCTTTAAAGTTAACCACTTCTGTGACTACTTAGAAATCTTTCCCAATTAACTCATTTGTATACTGTCTTCATAATTAACATGGTTTCATGAGGTACTGTAACTATTTAAATTGTGGTTTGGCCCAGTTCACTCACTGATAGGACAAAAGTATTCTAAATGCTTAAATTTCAGTAATCAGGCATCTCTTACCAATGTCACTATTGCACATTCAGCTGTCAGTTGTGCAGCACTGAAAAGTGTCCGAACAAACCGGTAGATGTGCTTGTGATCAGGGTCATGCTTGTAGTAGTCATCTGGAACTTCTTCCCGCTGAAATAAAGTCCTTTGAATTACTGAAAGTTTGTTTTATTAACTGTAAAGAACAGCCGCACACAGTTATTTCTTCTCACCAAGTAGAAGCTCATACAGCCATGCTCATGTCACAAAGAGCTAGAACAAGATCATATACTGAAAGAAATAAATAGACTTGCAATAATGAGTATTACAATCAAAGCAAACAAAACAAAAAAGGAATAGATTTAGCTGATACGGTCTGTGTTGTCAACACTTTTTTGATCTGTAAGACTAACGGGAAAGAACATGAACTAGTGTCATTCTTAAAGGAGCTTACTATTGCACATGGAACTTTTTACAGACTAAAAAAAAGTTAAAAAGAAAACCCTGAAATTTTCTCCAAGTTAAGAAAATCACAGGTGTATACACACAAGGGAAAAACTGACTTTTCAAAAAGCAAGATTAAGTTCACAAAATCCCCCTTTCAGCTGAGGAAAAGCATAGGAACACATTTCAATAATTTCACCACAGGCAGAACTGGATGGTAGCTTACATTGTCTTCATCAGACTTGTTCTTGAGAAATTTCAGAAAGACAAAGCTAATGAACAGCTAGATTTAACTGTGACATGATACTAAGTTTAAATTTAGAAATTTAGTGTTTAGAAATAAATTTAAACTTCTAATTTAATAAAATTAGATTAAATATAAATTTAATTTCTAAATTTGAATTATTTCTAATTTAAAATTCTAATTAATTCTAACTCTAATTTCTATTTTTTTATTTTAAATTTCTAAATACTAAATGCTAAATTTGTTTCTAAATACAGAAGAGAAGAAAAGCTTATAAATAATTAAGTTTGTGAAAACAATCCTAAAACAAGTAATGAAGAACTCCAACTTTGCACATTTATTCTGCAAGACTGGTACCTGTATTCCAGGTTACAGGTACAGTGCAATACAGAACCAGGTGAGAACAGCACAGCTGCTTTATGTTATACAGGTAGTCATAAGCAAAGAAGCAAGTATTTTCATGTGGCTTTGTAGTTTAAAATAGCCAGATAACAGTGTCAAGTAAAAGAAGAGGTAAGTTAGTGCCAGAATGTCTATACAACCTTCCAATACACCACTAACCAACATTATAAATAACATGGGCAGAATCCCCCTTGCATAATTTCCTGTGTGACTGAGGCTGAGCTCAAGCTCAGATGTATTAAAACTTTTTGCTTTTATAATTCGTCTACAGAACCAACAGTCAGCATAGAGGGCTTTTGTAAGGGAGCAAAGAGATGGGAAGACATGCTATCCCTATAACTGAGCATTACTCTGAAAAACGAACCAGCATGCAGCAACAGATCCTGGCACTACCATTGGTGCTTACTATTCACAAAAACATACTGTTGACCACAGACAAGTTCTCATGGACAGAAGAGAACCACAAGTGCTTGGCACATATACTTTCCCCTTTTGCCTCTGAGAGGATCCAAAGCGGTACAATAAATTGTCTGCTCTCTCTCCCTTCACCAGCAAGGAGAAACAGGCAACAAGTAGACAAGATCTCATAAGTCAGTGCTTAAGTAGTAAAAAGATTATTTTTCCTACATCCAGCCAAACTTATAAGCCAATTCAAAGGGTCTGCATTATAAAAAAAAAAAAAAAAAAAAAAAAAAAAAAAAGGATCTCACAAGAACACTAGTTTTAGTTTTCTCCAATGGACTTGCAAGTATAGCCTTTAATTTACTGATACAGAAGTATCTATGCCCAGCTACACTCACAGTTCAGTAACTTGCATCTGTGCTCTTCCACATTACTTTTCTGGTGGGGATGTTAAGGTCCTCACAAATGAAGGATGCAACATGCTAAATAAACAAGGAAATACTAGAAGCATGTAGACCCAAAGAACAAAGCTGTTCCTGAGCAACACCAGGTTCCCAAAAATAAAGATTTCTGAGGTGGAAGCACAACATTCAATTAGTGATCTTGTACCTAAAAACTTGTGATAAAAAGAGACAAATGAAGAAGACACTAGAATTGACTGAAACACAAAAGCATCATGCAGAATGGCAAATGGAGCCCTCCAGAACCTGTCAGTATGTGCAGTACAAAACCACATTGAAGCATGTTTTTGCTGACTGGAACTGAGGAGGAAAAGTCTAGGACCAGTATTAGTGATTGAGCCCCGTGATGCTGGTAACTTGCAGTTTGTTACTTTTGTAATGAAGGACAAGTGAGCCTGGATAGTTATCTGGATTTGGACTTCCTTGTAACTGAATCTTTATAGAGGACAAATTGTGCAAAAATTTCTTCCAATTAATCTTTAAAGGAACCGTAGATACTAGGCCCCAAACCCTATTGCTAAAGGCACTAAGAAGTAATTTATACCTTTCCCCTCAAAAGTATGACATAGAGCCTTAACACTACATATCTGTCTGTGTACTTCACTAGGATAGAAGAAACCTTTAAGTGTTCCCTAAAGGATACGATGATTTTCCGCTATTCCTACTCACTAATTAGGAGGAGAGCTATACGAGCTGATCAAAACATGTCAGATTGCTAAAAAAAGAAAACAAATTGTCTGATGAAGTGGATGGAGTTCATCTTACATAAATAATTCTCAATATGAATCAACTGATTGAGGCACTTAAAACAGTTTTGGACCAGATATTTTTCTTGAAGTGCCACATTTCATACAAGAAATCTATATAGCTTTTCTCTGAAATTCATTATTTTGATTGAGTCAAGAGTTATGTTTATTAAAGTATACAATTCCCAGCACAATAGGTCCTGTTTATGGATGAACCTCTACCAAAACTTTAAACATTTTTTTTTAAACTGATTGTTAACAAGCCAAATAGGTGAGCTAAATTAAGCTGCATTCACTCTAATAAGTCACAGAGTGAATTGTGAATTTTTAAAGACACTACAGCTTTGCTAAATTTATTTCAGGTGAGAGAAAATAGAGTAAGAAGTTCTACAGGACAGCGAAGTCTAGTAGTGCTCAAACTGGACATGAAGAGCACACACTCCTCCAATCTTGAGCTAGCCTGTACTATGAGGTTTTGCATCTTAAAGATTGCCTAAAAAGGTATACCAGAACCGTTTACGTTGGAATCACATACTGAATGCTCCTAGATGTTAGTGCAAGCAGCATTAAACATACTGGCTTAAAATTTTTGCCTTTTAAAATAAGGATTGCTGTCTCCTACTCTGTGTGATGCTTCATGCATTAAATACTCCTGTTTACAACCTTAAAAGGTTAGGAACATACCTACTATGTCTTCCCAAATAAATTGTTAAGACTTAACTAAAGTAGCATTAAAAGAGGAAAAAGGAAGGAGTCAGACAAGACAGCTCTGGTATGAGACGTATATAAAGCAAGCACATGCTGATTCACGTAGACAGATTCAGATAATGCAGAGAAAACCAAACATACATTGTAATATTCAGAAAGACCAGTTTCTGTTCGTGATCTTGCTGATATCAGAAATCCAGCAGACACCATCTGCACCGTATTTTATGTATAAAGATATAACTTAACATCAATTTGCTTTTGACCTGGTGCTAAGACTTTTTTTTTTTATATAAGTTCTATGGAACAAGATTTTTCAAAAAAAATGTATATTAATACACATTCAGAGGATCAAAAAAAGCTACACTTACTGTGAGAGGATGAGATTTTTCATCAAAAATATCCAATGATCTGTCTGAATCTCTACAAAGTAAAAATCTATGTTTTAACAACAAGACTTAATTGGTAATGCTATGCTCCACTAAAAAGTATTATTCATTAAAGAATAAAGGAACATATTTTATAGTTCATCTTTTCCTAGAACAATGCATGAAGTTACACTGCATTTTTGCAAAGCATTTAATGGTAAGATCTTACAACTGAATATTTAACAAGCTAAACAGTGAAGTTATCCACATTCTCACCAGCAAGTCAAATTGAATTTCTAAATACAGAAGCCATAGTTCACATTATGCTTAGTACACTTCTCCTTTAAAATGTGAAACCATGTCATTAATATCATTATTTCAAAAAAGACAGCTGCAATTTTGAAGCACATGCTGTAATTAGCTATAATGGCAATGGTTATTTGTACATGGGACAGTGTGTTCCTTCACATATCAAAACTAATCTGTACCTCTGTATTCACAGGTACAGCTAACCCAAGTCCAAAGGCTGACGCGTGGTGAGTTAAGTGTATTTTCCTCACTCCCTCTGTTTTGACTTTTTATGCTTTGAAGCATGTGTCATTGGATAGGTGTATTATGGACCTTTGTATATCAACTCAAAAAGGGGTACAAAGAGGAAGCAGATACATCATGAAGTTACCAGATTTTTTTCAACTCTTATAACTGGCTGTTACTGAAATAACCAAGACCATATCCCTGGCTCAAAAAAAAAAAAAAAAAGAGAAAAAAAAGAGCATACTCACCTGTTCTTTATGTGGTAGAATATTGCTAATGTTACACTATGAAAAAAAAGGAGAAAAATACAGTTTTAACAAAGCATATTGTAACATATCCTGTGCAGATTATTCTGATGCAAAAGTTGTTCAGGGCAAAATGTTCAGAACCCATAATCTATTAGCATCCTCCCACATTCCTGAATACCCGTTACCCCATTTCTGATCCTTACCTGCCTGAAGAAAAACTAGCCAAATCAGACTTGCTAGCCAAACTACTTTTACATTTGATGTAGAGATATTTGTGCCTTGAAAGAAATAACATTATGCTGGATTTTAAACACGTACCTTCATTTCCTGATTAGGTGACATTTATTGAAAATGTGGACTATTCGTAACTAAAATGTGACATGTTCGATTTGAAGTTGCATATACTCTGCTTATGTTTCAACTCTGTATCTCTGGCTGTCTAATTTAAGATTTTTATTTTTTTTTTAATTGCAAAATAAAGAATGCCAGTGTTGACACTCATCTACTCATCAGTGTTGACACTCATTTACTGCAGACAAATTTCAGATATTCACAGTGACAACAGGAATACTGCCATCACAGGAAATCATCATGGACAAGCACTGATCTATTGCCAACTGTACACTACTTCAAAACTGCATCAGCACTATCTTTTACATTTGTTCTTCTTTAAAAAAAAAAAAAAAAAAAAAAGATAAATAACACACTAGATACCTTTGTCTGAAACCAAATTTGAAAGCAAAAAAATCATCTTAGATATTTCCAAACTCGACTAAACTGTTAAGACAGTAAAGCTTTCTGGGCCTGAAGCTGTTGTACCTTCCTTTCCCTTCAAGCACTTCTCATGTAGAGTATTCCAGATGAGAAGAACAGTGTCTGTGGTATCCAGAACAACAGCTAAAACCGCCATTCCTACTGGAGAACCAAGACAACTAAATAACTGTCAAACTCACCCATCTAACATAAGAAACATACCAGGAAGAAATGGGCGCTAGAACTAAAATCAAAGCCAGCAATATACTGTTATCCACAACTAGAGGGCAGACTAATACCACCAGGAAGTAGCAAACAGTTGTAGAAACTTTTCCTGAAACTCCATACAAAATACACTTCAAGTTTTCCCAGATCTACAGTTTATTGATTTGGCTTTCAATTTGAAGACTCTGAACTCACCCCAATACACAGTTTTAAAATCAAAACGCTTACACATTTCAACACTGGTTCAGTTTCTCAAGTGTATGACAACTACTCTGAAATATGATACATTAGCTCTGTAACAAAAGGAAAAAAAGAAAGGGAAAGGGAAAAAAGGGAAAAGAAAGTCCACTTCAGCAGTCATTTAATTAACTAGACCTCTACACCTTTTCCTTGACCAACTTGAATAATGCTCCCATCACTGAAGTGTGAGACTACCTTTGGAACAGATACCAGCACAAAAATCCCAAATAAACTTAGCAGTGTGTTACTAAGCCCGTTATTGATAACAAATGGCTCTTACCACTTTATTGTGCTTCTAAGATTAGGTTGACTGACAGTGCTGTCATCTATAAATATTGTTGAGCATGAGCTGTATTTTTTCGTAAGCTGCCCTGGAGAAACCTTTGGGAGGAGGAAAAGAAAACAACAGGAAATAAATTCAAAAAGACTGATTCTGTAAGCTTTGGTTTAACCACAGTGAATACCGGCTTTACAGCTAAAGTAGCTACTGAGAGGTCTTTGTAGACGATTGCTCCTGGTGTGTAAGCTACCTCATAGCCATCAAGTTGCTCAGAATAAGCCTTTGTGCAAAATTGGCTTATAAGCCATCCCTTGTAATATACATATTTTTAGATGAGTAATTTTCAGCAGAATTAGCTGCAGCTAAAGCAGCCAAGTCCTTTGATTTTCTCAGTTCTTTCACTCCACTCTTGCCAGATCTGGTCTCGGCCTTTCCCTTATAAGATTTTCTTAGATTTTTTTTCTTTTTATATCCATCATCATTTTCTCCCTTCCTTTACACCACATCTTACTCCTTTACATTTCTGGTTATCCAATATCTCTTCCTGTATAGACAGTTTTGTGTTTTGAGTTCGTTTATATATTAGAAAAAAGTAAACCTCTCCCTAACATTTACTCTCTTCAGTCATGTCTTGGTTAGCATCTGAAATCTGGAAATAAACAACTGTTCTATTTTGTCACCTGTCTTAATGCTGTAGATTTTATACTTTAAGAAATTTTCCTATCTTATTGTAACACTAACTCAGGCTTCCCTGAGCATTTTTAGAGAATTCCTTGAACTCAGATATATCATCATAATCGAGAGAAGAGTTTTAATGTAGCAATTCAAGATGTATTAGTCTCTGCAGCCATATTTTTAAAAGCCATGTCTAGAACTACCACCAAAAACAATCCACAGAATCACAGAATCACAGAATTTCTAGGTTGGAAGAGACCTCAAGATCATCGAGTCCAACCTCTAACCTAACACGAACAGTCCCCAAAAATCCAATCACAGTTCACCTTGGTGCTGGCAGACTAAAGCTGGTATTATAAGGAGGGAGGGCTGGATAACCCCATAATTGTATTAAATACAATACATTTGAAATATTATCTTACTAGTAACTTATCAGTAGACACTTCTGCTAGGCAGCACTTTTAAACTTTGTTTTAGTATGTTCCATTACTAGTCATTTTTTTATCCACTTATTAATAAAAAAGATGGAAGATAAGTCACATCAAAGAAAAATATCCATGTGCAGAAGCAGCTTAGAGCATATTTTCAAACTTTAAAGCTAATAGCTTATTATTTGTTCATGCTGATGATACTGTTTGTTCTTCATTCTTTTTTATGCTGAATGTTCATCACAATAAGCCTTACAGTGATGCTCAAACAGTAAGTTGTTTAAGACTTGTCATCTCAGCTGAGAAATTAATCCAGTTTTATTTGTTTTAAATACCAACATAGGCAGTTTGACTTGTATTTTATTCCTTATTGTTTTGAAATGCTGAAGACTGATAAAAGAGAAAGCCATTATTATTCTTTTGTCATTAGCTACTCTATGCCCTGTAATACTATGCCTGCTTATTTATTTTTTATTTTTAAAGATGGGCAAAGATAATTAATTTTTATCTTGCTAAGAATGACTTAGAATGTATGCAGGACCATACACATACAACTACCACAGTTGTTTCTCTAAGAATTTTACTTACATGGTTGATGTGGTTACTCTTCCTCTTCTCTCTCACTAGAAAAATGGAGAAATAATGTGAACTTTTCTAAAATAGAATCCTGATTTACATTCAATCAAGTCATCCTATTAACCTAGTCTTCTGAAGTACGTGAGCATTAGAAGTTTCTAATTTGACTGTTAGGTCTCTAGAGAAGTAAATTTTGAGCAAAAATGTGAAGTTTTATCAACCTAGCAAACTACGTACTACTTCCAGCTTTCCACATGTATGTTGCGGAATAACTACTGCCCATCACACTGACAGGAAAACGTCTCAGCATTGAACAGATGTTAGTCACTATGAAAAGCTGGGTGATTTTAAGATAGTTTGAATAGATAATGTCTAATATCAAACAGCAACCACTTAGCAAAGAGAAGTAAAACCACCACATAGCCAATTTGCCAGACACCTAAGAAGGAACTGAAGTGCCTTATGTACATGTTCTCTCTCTTCCCATTAGACAGCAGAAGGTAAAAAAGTTATTTCACTACAAAGACAATGCTGGCACAAACTACAAGTAGGTATTTATCAGATAACTGCAACCATTTTATTTAATCACCTCAGACTGTCAGACTTTTAAAGAAAATATCAAGGACTAGCTCCCAGCTGTAACAATAGCAGTGAAACAAAACACTACTGTTAGATGACAGCTGAGAGTTGCACAGGTAGTTTTAAAAGTGAAACAACCTATACAAATGTGGTCAGCCTGGACAGGTAACTGTACCTCCTGCTCCAACCTTTTGACCTTAAGGTATTACCACTTGCAAGAAGGACACATTCTCTTACACATTTCAAAAAATAACAAATTGAAGAGAATGTCAAAATTTAGTCTTTGTTTTTTAAAAAATAAAAAAAAATCTCATGATTATGATAACATCTCAGTGAGAGAGAACTTAAGGATATTAATTCTACTGATCCTACGGAAGTTTAACTAAAGAAGATCCAGTGAAATTACAAAATAAATCCTTATGTTTGATTTGTTGGTAAAAATACCCTGTAAAAATCAATTCATCCAACTAATATGAACTTCAGAGAGTAGTTTAATAGCTATTAACTCACCTAGCAGACCATTTTTCTGCATGAATACATGCATACACATTTCAGTACATTATAATTGAGGAATACTGAATCTGTTTAAAAGCAATACTACTCTCAACAAGGACATTCATATAGTTTGAAAGTTAAAGACTACTCAGTGAAACTACACTACAATGTTCAAGAACTACATCAACTTGTAGCTGCAACTTAAACAGAACTTGCCTATAAGGAGCCTGAAATTGGCAGGTCAGATCCTTCTGTCTGTTTGAAGGCCTCTAGAAAAGAGACCTACATTTCCTTGGTATCATCTTTTCTGGTGAATCATGCTGTTGCTTGTTTCCACTGCTTAGAGATTATCTGAACATTGTGAAGTTGATATAACTGACAATTTTACTACTTGCAATAACAGTATCAGCAGGACTGCAAGTGACAGACCTGTCAAAATAATACTACTTTTCTGTGGCAAAGCTATGCCAAAGTGGTAGACACACTGTAGCTTTCCATCAACCCAAGCATAACACTAGCTTAGGAAAATGCTTCAAACAAGAACCAGCTATAAAACAGTACAGAAGCATTCTTAAACTAGTATCTTAAACTCCTCTTCAGTTGCAACTTCAAATTTTAATACTGTAAAAATTATTTTTTATTTATGCAATATGAAAATGCCTCTGCTTTTTAACATAGCTACAGTACAGTAGTTATAAATAGCTATAGTAATTGTTCAAAATTGGCTTTCTGATTTAAATAAAGGATCTGCAAGGGAACTGGAAATCCCAATACATCCATGTTATTAAAAACAGTAATCAAGAGTAATTATGCTATGGAAACTATTCAAACATTTTAAAACAACATATTCAAAAGTAACCAATGAAGACTGATGGTTTAGGTTTACTATTCCTTACTGTTCATTCTTTTTAAACTTTTTAAGAAGTCCTTGGGTCATAAAAAAACACAAAACTACTTCTTGAAGCTTGAGTTACATTAGTGAAGTGATAAAGCCTTGCTCCCTCAGATTACTGGAATCCAGCTTCTGAAATCTCCTGCTATTTGAAATAACAAGTATTTTTTAAGTGTTAAGTAAATAGCCTATGAACACATTTCTGTGTAAAAGTGTAAGTTACTAAGCCTGTGCTTTGAAAGAATTAAATTAATTCAGGTATTCTTGAGGTGTATAACTAAAATAGGCAATTATTTTTTTCCAGTTTTCTTCCCCACTTTAATTGGAAAGAACTTAGCTTACCATCTGTTTGAGACTTGCTAAGGAAAATTGTGCTTGCTCTAGGATGATCAGATGGATTAGATTCCAATGCTAAATCTGAAAGAGAAAGGACAAAAAAAGGAAGACCATCAATAGAAGATGACGATTACTGCAGATTCCCACCCAGCCTTAAAATGTTCAAGCATGGTGATAGAATCAAGATTAGAAACGCATAGAACAGGTTCTCTAAAGCAAAATCTCTCTTTTGCCAAGACAAATAAAAAATTGTCATCTTCCTTTTTACTGGGAAAAAAATGCGGGCTTCTTTATACTGCCATGCAACTCTGAAGCAGCTTACAGTTCCCATCAAAACAAAATCTGGAAAGGTAGACCTCAGAAATGAATATATACCTTCAGAAGTCAGTATACAGCCCAGCATGTTAGGATAGTTTGATGTGGAGCCTGTGCTCAGTAGATAGCAGAAAACTAGAACTTTATAAAGATCTTAAGTTAAAAAATAAATAAATAAAATAAAGGACACTACAGACCTTACTTTCACTCTATACTTTATGTATCCCAGATGTCAGTAAACAATCTTTGTGGTCCTATACAAGAGCTTAATAAGTAACTTCGAGTGCTGCTAAATATCAAAACACATGTCTAACACTATTCTTTTCTTTTGGACTTTCAAGTAAAACTCTGCATAGCTAATAGTTACAGAAAAACAAAATGGTTTCTTTAATCCTTTGCTGCAGTGATGGCATCAGATGAGGATATATTACTCCCTTAGATTAAGATGGAAGTGATCACTAAAAAAGTTTGGACTGATCAATCCGTAAACATCATAATGATTTTTTTTTTTTTTTTTTAAATCTTTGACAGCAAAAGAAGCTGCTTGAGGAAGTCACAAACAGTCCAATTTCTGTGAGCATATCAATAGAACCATCTTGCTAATGCTATGATCCTGTACATCCCAGAAGGAGCAAACTCTCAGCAATTTACATTCTGGTCTCCACCTGTGCTATTTATGCCACACTAACCATAAAAGCAAGCAAGCTCACAAACTCGCACATTACTGTTTCAAGGCAGTATGCCAATACTTTTTTAAGGGTGTCACGACTGCAAAGTCATCTACAAAGCACCATCAACTTTTCATGAAAAAAAAAATATATATATATTAAGAGGTTTTTATGCACTGAGCCAACAGAGCTCTGATTAAATAGTAGACAAAGTATGCGCAAACTCTTGGTGCTGGAAGTCTCAGCTATGTGAATGTTTTGTGCTACTGCACCTAGCCCACAGCACAGCCACAGCCCTCATGCGTCAGCAAGTGAACGTCACTGTCAAAGTGCGTGTATGCCCGAGACTTCTCGTTCCAGATTCCCATTGGTACGCAACATCAGTATCTAGGCCTGGATATTTTCCAAGTACTTGGCTCACATCACTGATCTTAGTCCAACCATGTTGTTCTGACACTGGTCCAGGAAGCAGACCACTGTAATTTTGAATCTCTACTGTACAAATAGGGTAACCAACGTGTACTACAGAATAGGATGATTTTTCAGCCAGGAATTTCCCCCTCTCAAAAAAGGCCACAGTCAACTACAAAAGCATATCCTCTTGAGCAGGGTTGAAAAGCAAAACAGTATTTCAATTTCCACTTTACTGTGCTCATTCCTGGCATTCAATTAACAGATGCATGTATTTAATCACGTAGTTACAATGTAAGAAGCCCTAGTTTAGAAGTCCTAGAACAGAATTTACCTTACCACTTATACCTCAAGTACCAGTGGTACATACTTGATCTCTGAAAAAAATCCAGCATACAATAGTATGCCACACCAGCACATTTTAACTACTACTTATAATATTGCAACAAATAGCTTAACTTATTTAAAACTTGTCCACAATGTTGTAACACTTTTAAAATCACTTTTAAAAACACTTTTAAAAGGCAATATGGACACAAATTCTAGTTTCTAATGCTAGCATTCTATTACAAGAAAAAAAAAAAAAGACTGACACAAACCAAGGAATTCACTAATAATAGCAAATTTTAAACAACTTTTGGGATCTGAGAAAGGAGTTATTCAGGAACTGCATTATTTTACTAGACTACCAAATGACCAAAGTGTCATCACCAGATGGAAGAGGACTGCAAAATGCAGAATTAAAATACAGATTATTACATTATTTTTAAGTTTAGACACAAACAGAGAAAATCATTCAGAATTTATTTATTTACAAATTATCAGCAACTTTTAGAGAAACAGAGTAAGTCAGGTTAGAACAGACCTCAGGAGGTCTCCAGCCTACCCTCTTGCTCACAGCCGTGTCAGCTCTGAGGCTTTACCCAGCTGAGCCTCCAAAACCTCCAAGGGCTGGAAGGCTGCACAGTCTCTCAGGGCAACTTGTTCTAATGCCCACCTGTCCTCATGAGAAAAAGTGTCTCCTTGTGCCCAGTTGGAACCTCTCATTTCAACTTACATCCCTTGCTGTCTTATATTCCAGCCACACACCACTGGAAAGAGCCTGACTGCATCACCCCTGTGACTTCCCTGTAGGTACTGACAAACTCCTGTGAAGTGTGCCTGCAAGGTTTGGCCCTCTTTCCTTCAGGCAGAACAAGCCCAGCTCCCTCAGCTTCTCTTCACCTGTCTCCAGGCCCCTGAGGGGGATTAATGCCTACAGGGCCAGGGGACTCGCTACTGAATGGTGCAGAAGAGCATCTGGGGACTGTACACAAGACTTAAGTGATATTTAGGGGAAAGACAGAAGGCTGGGAAAGGGAGAGAACAAGGTAGACTGGGGAGGAACAAGCACAGGAAAAGAGAGAGAAAAAGGGATGAAAGTGGCATCGACTTGTAAACAGACTGCTGGTCAACATGCTTTCTCTGGCCAGGCATGGTGCCTGATCACTGCAGCCTGTCCTGTCTGTGCAGGTCCGAGCACCAGCAACTGGAGCTCAGGTCTGCAGGCCTCGGGGTTCACGTGTCCAGGTGTCAGCAACTGGGCAGACTGCGTGTCTACCACCGGGTTCTGGAGGGACCCATGCTGTATGTATGCATCTTCTCTGCTAATGGGCTTTCATCCTGATCAGCCATGGAGGAGAACAGGATGAGGCTTCTGATGCTGTTTATGCCTGTATGTCGTGTTTTCTGCCTGCACTGATCTGTATGGCCAGCTGTGTATGCATTGTGCACGTGTGCCTTTTGGGAAGCCTTATACGAACCTACAGCTGCAGCAGCTTCCCCGTTACCAGGCTACTGAATGTGGTAACTCCCAACATGACTGCATTTCTCCTTCCTCAATTCTGTGAGGTTCCCGTTGTCCTCCAGCCTACTGAGGTCCCTCTGAATAAGCAGCCTCCAGCATATTGACTGTTGCTCAGTAGGGTGTCACTTGCAATTTGGGTGTACTCCATTGTCTCATCCAGGTCACTGATAAACATTACAGAGGACAGTGGTTTTTTTTTTCAGGGAAGAGACAGTAAGAGTTAAATAGCACCCATCCTCTTTCACCCCAAAGAGAAATACAGTTAAAACACTGATTTCCCTGAAGTCTTGATTCACTTTGAAAGGACACTTCTTGATACAGCTTTCTTCTTGTGCTTTGTCTTTACATCCATCCTTCTTAGATATTAGAAGTCAGGTCTCAGGCAAAAAGCACTACAAGAAAAACACCTGCAAATACAACCAACTTTCATCCTGCACAAGAAGGGTCTGTAACAGGTGGCACTGTCGGATGTATCAAGGGACAGCATATTGACACAGTCACACAAGGAAAGCGTGCCTTCCTGAACCTAATCAGACACATGTGAAGAGAGGAACAGCAGTGAAAGGAAAATAGACTTCACTGGCTCCAGTTCCACAGTGGTTCTGCTAGGCACAGGATGCTTTCTGCTAGACAACATTAGGTGGATCAGCACCCACAGCACACCAAACCCACATCGTCACACAACCAGGTAGAGTCATGGTACTAGTGAACCCCAGAACACCCCATGCAGTTCCTGGTACAACACACTATAACGTGATCGGGACCAACTGTAACCAGGCTTCTTAAACCAAAATAACGTGGCATTAACAGAAACAGCACAGCTGATCTGTCTTGCATGACACTGGGAAGAAAGAAAGATGCATTTTATAGACTGCCTGCCCGTAGCTTCCCCCTTCTATGCAGCCAAAGAATTTCAACTCTCCTTGCTTTACTGTTCTCCCTGGACAATGCTTTTCTCCAAGCAATGGAAAAATTATCACATGGTTTGCTCCTCCCAAACTGCCCGTTTTGATCATGAAACAGCAAAAAGGAACAGCAATACAATTGATAAAGGAAACATAAGGCAAGAGGCAAACAAGGATGTGAGAAGAGGCAAAATGCAATGGGAAACACAGCAAAAGAAAAGCCAAAGAGATTAATCCACCTGCAACCACTTCGACTCACATCCAACCATAATTCCTAATACTTCATCTTCGTAGCACTTAAAAATCCCAAACTAAGATATCTAGCTTGAAAATAAGAATAAGTCTTGTTTATGAGCTGCATCAGAAGACATATGACAGAACACTCACTCTTCACAGGTAGCTAGCTGAAAAACAAAGGGGATGAGTGGCATGCCATGGGGTGAACAGAAATAGTAGAAATTAAAGCATGCTGAAACAGGAATGACAGAAGTGACAAAACACCATGATGCTAAAAGGCAAGAAAAAAATCCAAAACTTTGTTTTAATGGCTACCAACTCAGTAGAAGTCAAACATTTTCCATCAGAACCTCACACTTCATGACACTGAGGTGAGAAGGGAAGATTCCCACCAGAAATGCAGTCTGTGGGAGTGGCACAGAAATGGTGCCCTCCACCTCTCCAAGAAATGCATATCAAAAGCAGCCTCCCCCCCAGTTTCAGGGTACTACCAGCCCTGTCAGATCAACCCCTCTCTCTCCAATTAGAGCCCAGAGAAGACAAAACTCGCTTCCCTCTCTCGCCATCCTTGTTTTAAAGAATCATTGCAGTTTGCTTGCCCTCCAGACAATCTCAGCTACCCCTGCTGCTACACACAGATAAGGACACACAGCTCCCCTGGGGCAGATCACATTGCTTGTGAGAGCAAACCTCCGTTCT